GCTTTTATTTTTTCTGAACAGTGAACAGTTTGTTCAACAGCATGGCTCGAACGAGTTATGACCTTGTTTTTTTCCTCTTCTTCTTTTTTTTCTTTTTTTTTTTTACTGAAGTGCTAATTTTGTGTTGGAGAATGTGTTATTTAAGTGTGTAGGAACAGGTGAGCATTAACTGAATACATTTTATTACCTGACTTTTTAAAAGAAACCTTTTTCTTACTGTAAATGCAGCAAAGCGCACGCCGTCGATCCTACAGAACATTTAAAAAAAGGTACCGTAAGCACCATCGCAGCATCAGACTGACTCCGCTTTCATACAGAAAACCGATTTTAAAAAGGAAAAAAACAACAAAAAAAACATTAAATTGTGGATTAAAAGGCTCGCTGACTTTAATGCAATTTATTCTTTTCATAAATCGATTGCGGTGGATAGCACCTTTTACCATTTTTATTGAAAATTTTATTGTCCTAAAGTCACTTATTGGGAACAGGGTCAAAAAGTCGGCTTTAAAAGATGCCGACCAAAAAAAAAAATCTTCCATGAGAGATTTTTATTGTAATTATGCACATTTTTGGTTTCTTTTTTTGGGGGGGACTAGACTGTTTTGTTTTGTTTTTTTTATGAGTTGGATGAAACCAGGAAGTTTTGAGTTTGTACTGAAGCCGAGGGGATGTACAGCAATCTTTCCTGAGCTGGATCTTAGAGAGGTTACATGATTTGAGTTTTGTTGTTGGTTTTTTTTAGTTTTTTTTTGTTTGCACATTTCATTTTCTTAACAACCCAAATGCTTGTAATATTGCCAAAAAAAGTCGCACCTTTTGATGAACCTACCTGAGAACATCTGGCGGCGACTCCTCTCCTCTCTTCGCCCTCCTGCAGTGTATTTAAAAGGAAAAAAAAAGATGTATATTTTCCGGAGCGTCATCTGTGTCATTTTTCTAGTGACGTACACTCGAGATTCCTCATCATCTTTTTTCCCCCTTTAATCTGAAGTGACTAGCTATGAGACTCTTTCACTGCGTATGCTGTAGTTGGTGGTCGGTGCCCGTTTCTTCTTCTCATCCTCTCACCCAGTGAGGCCACATGCATGTAGATAGTTTCATAGTTTTTTTTCATTCATTAAGGGAAAACAAGCAGGAAAAAACGACCAGACGTCTGGTCTCCATAAAGAAGTGATAATGGATGGACCAATATAAAAAATATGCAAATATGAATGATCAAACTTTTTCTTTTCCTCCCCCTGTGCTCAGTGTTGAGTGTTGATGTCTAATTACGGTGCTTAGAATCACTTTTATTTAAATTCTTTTGATGGGGCAATAAAATTGCCAGTTTTTAATGGATTTTTTTTTTTGTTTGTTTGTTTTTTGTTTGACTGTTTCTTCAGTTATGAAAGATGAGAGAAACTTGCTTTACCCCAAGTTGCCTTTTTCCTTTAACATATGAAAATAAGACTCCGTGAATTCTCACATGGTGGGCAGCCCTGTAGTTTCAGTGCTGTTGGCTGTGAACGAAGCCTCCATCCTTGTATGCACTACGTGCTGTGTTTTAGCAGTCGAATGCTTGAAGAGATCAGCTTTCTCCAACAGCAACATGCAATATTTGTCCCAATGATCACCAGCTAATCAGGCTGTTACACTTTATTCTTTTGATTTTTTTTCAAATAACAATAGAACATTTCTGTAACATTTTTGTTTGTCTGTTGTTTTTGTTCTTTTTTTAAAGACAAAAAATAATTGTGGGGGTTTCCAGCTGTGAGCCACGAAAAGCTACACTAGTAGAAAATATAGAGCTGAATTGAGTTTAACAAGTCCGGTAATGTGCAGTGAACACACAGACTCTGTTAAATGGGTTTTACTTAATCAGGCCCATTTTGTTCAAAGAAGAAGTGGTTAAAACTTGTTACTGTGCTGGATGTTTGTCTTCTTTATGAAACATCTGAGCGGTGCAAAAACACTGTCATAGAATCCTTATTTAATGTAGTAATTGTGACAAAATGCAACAACACAAACTAAAACGGAGCTTAAAATAATCTCTTCACTATAAAGTGCCTGTTTTGTTTGACCAGTTCACACAAATACTAAATAAACTACATACTTCTTACTTCTGTTACTTAAAAGAAATTACAAAAACACTTTAACAAAAAGGTAAATTTATTCACCAACCCTCAAAAAACCGATTTGGTAATCAACATTTACTTTGTGATCTGCACACTTCACTGCATGCTACCATGTAGGGCGACATTTTTATGAGCTCTTACTTTTACCTTGAACAGCTTTTATTGTGAAATTGGAGGAAATGCATTTCATTAACAGGAAGTTTGATGGGTAGGCTGGTGTAGCTCTTACGTTTCCAAACACAGCTAAAGACATTAATAAAATCAAGATCTCGAATGTCTGTAGCAACAATCTCAAATATAAATTTTAATGATTTTAATTTTTTTTTATTGTTTTTTATTTTATTCGATGATCTTTTTGACTTTTTTGTGGGGAAACTGCATTTGGGGGTTTTTTTTTTTGTTTTTTTTTGTTTTTTTAAACCATCAGATTAGTCCTGTTTACTAATCAGGAGACACAATTAAGACTTGTGTGAATTAATCACACGTCACCAGAGACGTGTTGTTGTCCCTGTGCAGTAGTTGCTCTGACAGATTGACACAGCCTCACTAATGAGATTAATTCATTGTTGATTTTACCGTTTACTGAATTTGTTGATAATGAACCTAACCCGTGATTTTTGGGCTGCCCACTATTAGAGAATTTACGGTAACTGTTGTTCCTCTGAGACGTCCCTCAGACATGAAAACTCATTAAATCCTTTATGATGTGATGTGTGCGTTACTCCTGTCATGTTCTCATAGCTCACAGTTCTCATCTTCAGTGCACTACGTGTAAATAAAACATCCTTCTGTCCCCTCCGTCATCTTATTTGTACATTGTAAATGATTTTTCCCCCTGCGGATGACTGTTAGTTGTAGTTTTTTACAATCATATCAGGTGTGTGAGTGTGAGAGAGAGAGAGAGAGAGAGAGAGATTTAGTTATTGTTCTTTTAAGCTTCTTCAGTGTGTCTCAACATTTCAGCATCTCTTTTTAAAGCCGACCTTTTCCAAACCGGAGGCGGGGTTTGTGTTACACGTGACCTGCGAGGCTGCAGCTTTGATTTTTTTTTTTTTTTCTTATTGTTTTTATATTTGTCCATCCAGCCATGAAGCTTTCGACGTGATTTTTATGTTAAACCTTTCTTTTCCTGGCCACGTGTAAAGCTTTGATGCCATTCCAGTTTGCATTTCTGCTTTTTGAACTGCATGAGTAAAGGTGTACCTCCAGCTCCTCGTTCGGTTTCTTCCCCTCACGTAAACAAAAGAAAAGGCGTGATTGCACTCCTTCAGAGTAACGCAATATGACAATGATTTATATCCCCCCTCTCTAGATGCTGTTTTCAGCTTGAATAAGAGCGAATCGATCAAATTGTCCAATCATATTTGCCTTTTCGCTGTTCTTATTTCGGGATATTTTGGTACATACTGGGTACTACATGGATCCTCTTTGTACTTTAAGTACTTTTAGCAGGAATAAAATCAGTGTAAAGGTTTCTTTGTTCTCACTTCCTGTTGTTCTGTCCATATGTAAACTTTTACTCGTGGCTTAACATTTTCTATGCTCTTTTGTTTTCTCCCTTTTTCTTTGACACTTTAGCTAGCAATATGTATATAAATATATTCTATGTGCTAACATGGAGGAAATAAATGTATCAACAAGTTCTCCAGAGTCCGTTTTGGTTTCTTTTGAGGATATGATGCATTTCATAATGCAGGTTGTATCTAAGATATGCATTTTTACTTTAGTTTAATATTGCTTACTGGTAAACAAGTAAACAATATTAATCAGTTACTCTGTATGATGCTGATTAACTGTAAATGGTTCCTATTTAAAAATGACTGTTTCTTTAATACTGATCACCTAAATATTACTGACGTGGGAATTATATCACTTATATCATTCTTACCTTTAATGTCTTGATGTTGGTTTTTCCTTCAGCCACATTTGGAAATCTGAGTTTAAGAGTTTAGATAGCAGCAGTGCACAGAACGGCAAATGTGCAGCACTTTGCAAACCCCTTGGCCCACCGCTCATTTTAGATTTTGCTTTTGGTTTGGTTGCAGTGGTTTATTGAAATGAAAATGCACTATACAAGCTAAAAGAGTTTGTACGATTCTAACTTGGAAGTCTTTGTTTGAACACGTATTTTGTATGACCACCTTTAATAACTTAGCGAGTTTTCAGACCCCCTTAGCAACTTTTTTTCTAAAAAGCGACTAGCAACAAATCTGGCGACTTTTTCTGGTGTTACTGGAGACTTATGACGTGAAAGCGCGTATCGCTTTCACTCTCGACAAGCAGCGGTGCTGCCGTGGGCACCTCACCCGTGCCAAAGCGCTCACGGGCGGAGGATAGTCCTCCCCCAGCTGCTATCAGGGCAGGAGATGTTCACCCATGCTTCCAAACTGCAAATGAATCGCTTATGAGCAAAGCCGCTGCTCCGCACTGACTGTAACGCAGTCAGTTCTTCTTTTACTCTTATGCTGTTTTGTGGATCACAAGGTTTAAAACTACTTATAAACACACAAATTAACTCCACCAGAGTGCCAATCTGGGGTCACTTTTGCCAGTCCAGGCCCGGATAAAGGAGCAGGGTTGGAATTGTGACATTAAAAAATAATAATTGCTAAAAGAAATTTAATTTGTAGTTCTAAATAAATTCGTTTAAGACGTTTTTTACTCACACTCTCTACCACGATGTTATTTCTCTCTCCAACAATGTAGGTTACAATTACATTAGCATGACCAATTATGCAAATTAGGCGATGACGTCATTTAGCGACTTTTAGGACAACCAATAGCGATTTTCCTTACTGAAGAGTTGGCAACACTGGATCTGCTTCACCACCTGAGCCACAGCCACCCCAACCGCTATGGTTGGCGTTTTTCATGGATTGAGGAGGGAACAGTGTTTTAGCAACAAGCTGCTAGTAAAACTGCCCAAAAGATAAAGGCTCTTTGCTAAGTTGTGTCGCCGGGAGAAGTGTAGCTCAAGGCCACTTTAAAGAATTAAACATGTTTGTCTCCAAAATACAGAGCGACCTGCGCGACTTTTGCACAATACTATAGTTTCATGTTGTATAGCTTCTCAGATGTAATTAAGAATGTGGAATATTCATGAAAGTTTTCAATCAGCAACATTTTAAAGCTCAGGAATCACCGTGTGTGATGCATACAGCAACAATGTTGCAGAACAGTAAATAAGACAAACATCGAATTCTTGTCAAAATTGTTGAAATGTTTATTTAACTGAAAGATTTTATGTCAACTCAAATAAGACATTTTTAAACCTTAAAAAAAGGGACATACATTTTGCCGATAAAAGAAAGAAAAACAAACTCTGAAGAAAGTGCTTTTTTTACTTTAAAAAAAATCCTGGCATTGAAACTAGAACATTCTCCGCCAAAGACGATGAAGAAGGCCCTCCTGCTCCGACCTCCCCGCAGCTCTAACGAGTTAAAGGGTCTCTGGCAAAAACACCTTTCTTCCTGTTGTGACATCACTGTATGAGCCCTGATTGATCAGTCCGTGTAAAAATATGAAGGACTTCCCACTTTGATATTTACAACTGCCACTTTCGGGGTGATTCGCCTTTTCCGAGCCGGAGGTGATAAAACGAGTCCAACGAGCGCTGCTGACGGTCTGTCTGAAGGAACGTTTCGGTCCAGCTGTGAGAGTTTGAAAAGCGACAGATGTTCCTACTTAACATTTTAAAGATCAGTAAACCTGTTTGTTCCCAGAGAAACGTGACGCGTGAAGAGTTCTGACCCAAAGGCGCCAACCACACCAAAAACAAGCCTGTTGTAATTTCCTCTAGTCGCCACTAGATGGCAACGAATCTCCTGACTCAGATGATACATTTTCAAAAGACGTTTGTTATAAATTATTGGACTGCATTAGTCACGAGATCTGTAGTTCCAAACTGAAGGGGGCTAAAATGTAAACACAGCAACATGCTGATACTAGTGCCAAATATCGATATTTTTAGTGAAATACTTTGAATCAGTCTTCATTCTCCTGCTGATGCTTATAAACGAGGGGAACGTGATGCCACACACTTTATTGTTACTGTTAACAGCAACGTAATGTGCCACTATCATATCATAATTTACTTTTCAATCCCTGCTATCAAACCACGTTCCCACTCTCATGTCTCTATCTGAAGGAAACCATTTCTTTGTAATTCTTGAGAGCGATACTGATATTTGAGGATTTAACAAACAGATTTCACTATTCTCCAGCCCGGATCAGCTGACTCATCCATATGTATGGAGGGCATTTCTCCCACCTCTTCTTTAATTTTCATGGATCAGTATATCTAAAACGCTCCTACTGATAAATTGGCAAACGTGATAAATTTGTCAGGATCTAAAATTAACAACTTTGACTGAGAGACCGTACGAGACATTTAGGCTTTTAAAATGATTAAAAAGTCAACAAAACAAAGTTGTAGATTAATTTCCCATTATTTACTATTAATCTAAAATGCTCACATTAGCTACAGATATCCTGGTTACTGCGATGAACTTCACTGTAACAGCCCTGACACTCAATGCTCTCCATCACCTTGTAGGCAAATAATTATCCCTGTGACTGAGCTGGAAAAGTTGCCCCAATAATAGATGGAAATCTAAAATAAAGGCAAATTCAAACAGAGCAACATTCAATAACACCTAAACTTCTGATTCTTTACATTTCTGGCAAAGTTTTACTTTCATCCTCTGTTATTAGAAAAAGAGCCGACTATAAAAAAAAATAACTTTTGGGAACTTTTAGGGATTTGTTTTAATATTTAAGAGCATAAAAACAACGTTTCTGTTTATTCCCAGGACAGGATCAGAACTCTTCACACGAAAGCTGGAATAAAACTCGGAGCATCGCTTTTATAATTCCCATTTGACCGACACATTTCAGACCAACGTGCAGACGCACGGCCCCTCATGCTTCTGCTTTTGTCTGGGATTAATCCTTACGCTCATCTTCAATATAATCTATAATCATATATTTCTATTTTCAATAATAGGCTTGATGTGAGTTTGTTTCACTCAAGATAATACAATGCTTTTTTTCTTTTTCGTAATATTAGCAAATATTCAAGAGCAAAACATTCTCGAATGTCTCGTCATATACTTCTAACAGAGAAACAAAATAAATTAAATCAGTTTCTGTTTGTACATACTTACATGATATGAATTTATGTTTAGCTTCGGTCGAAGCCGTTAGTTTGTACGGAAAAATAAACGGAGTTGAAGGCTGCAGCTGTTAGTATATGAAAATTAGCACGCCGACTTTAGCTGAGATGGGGCTTCAGAAAATAACGATTCCAAACAAAAAAAGAAAAATACGAAAGAAACGTACCTCATCGTAAAACCGGGGGGCGGCTGCGACGCGCTCCCCTCAGACCCCGCCCTCGTATCAAAACATATGTCGCACTTTGTAATGGTCGATATCGTTTAGGTTTTTTTTCTCTTTGTGTGTAAATATCCTTTTCAAAAAAATAGCCTAAGGAAAGCAAATAACATGAAAATAGCGAGTGAGCCACACGCACTTTAAAAGCCGGGATCTTTCCTAACGATTGTCCTCTACTGCTGCGAGTTTTCCACTTTTCGGTAAACAGTCGGCACGACCCGGGGACCGCACTTCCTCTCAGACTGAGTATGACCTGAATGCAATCTAGATGCCAGCGCTGGATTCTGGGAGCTAGTTTGCAGCGGTTACGCAGCCTGGGAGTAAGCACCAAAATTCAGGGCAAAAAAGTCGACCACCTCCTCCCCTTCGCGCCGGAAACTCTGCCTCGGCTCCGCTTTTCCTTCCTTCGGTCTCTGGAGCAGAATTATCTTTGCATCTTCCTCAATTCTTCAGCCACCAGGGGGCGCTACATGTTGTAGGCCACATAGATTGGGTCCAGCTGGTCGGCCAGGAAGCCGTCCCGCAGGTGCATCCTCTGCTTCTCCCCTCTGGAGTTGATGGGGATGACGCCGATGTCCACCACCACCACCACGCCCACGATCAGGTAGTGCTCCTCCAGCACCACGTTGGTGACGAGGGGGACCAAGTCCAGGGCCTCCTGCTCCGAACCGTCCAGCTCCACCACCACCACCAGCAGGTTGGTCCACGTGAACACCGCGCTGCGGACACACATGACGAAAACTTGAATTCTTGTCACCCCAGAAGGGGCGGAGTGTGTAATCGACCTGTTGGCAGTTCTCATCCACAGTTTTTAAGATATCACGTTCAAATTTGGCATGACAGCAGATTCTAATAAAAGCTCGATCGAGGCAAAACAAATGTGAAAACCTGGGATAACTTTATTCTTCAAACTTCAAGACAATGTACTAGGCCTCGGGGGGGCCATGAGTACCTAGGCTGGCGAAGCGTTTGACCTTGAGTGTTAGCGTCCAAGGTCAAAGTTGGTGAAAAAATCTCAAGAAACCACATCGAGTAACATATCGTACATAAAGGCGTGGCGAGAGCTGAACAAACTTTTTTATTTTTTCATAAAGACACTATAATGTCATAACTGGCTGATGCTCACCACTCTGTGATGCTCTTGTGCGTCCTGATGACGGAGGTCTCGATGTCGATGGGGTGGTAACGCATCCCTCTGAGTTCCATGGCTTCCTCCAAAGCACCGACCACGTACAGGGCATCGTGGCGCTCTGTGGACACGAACAGATTTCCTTTCAAGCCACCATGCTGCGCTTTTAGATTAATGTACGAGTTCTCAAAGCTTTTAACGTGAACGGTCTTCCTGCACAGATCAAAGTCACAAAGTAAACTCAGCGTTTTCTGCAGATGTCTGAATATCTGACTGTTATGAGCTGGAAATAAACATTTGAGTGTTTTAAATATCAGACTTGATCTCAGCAGAGAGAAAGAGCCAATCAGGAGGAGCCGGCAGCACTTAGAATCAGCGCTGAAGCCGTTTAATCGTTTCCTCCTCGTTGTTGTGCGAGATCATTAAAGGTCAGCCGCAGCATTAACCACGTCGACCGTGTTCGACGAACGGCCCGCCCTGACCTCCGCTGGCGTCGGTGAGCTCCGTCCTGCGCAGGAAGCCCAGGTATCCGGTCCGAGCCCAGACGGTCTGCGTGTCTCCAAAGCTGAGCCTGGAGTTGAAATGGTCGGACTGCAGCGCCTCGTCCCCGTAGACGGTGAAGTAACCGCTGGCGTTGTGGCCACTGTGCACCCAGATCTGCAAACGCACAAATAATACAGCAGAAAATAATCGTCAAGGGATTATTTCCTCTATAAACGTCAAACAGATGTGGACAAACATCCATGTTTTCACTTCATGTCCCAGATTCTTGTCATTTCCACTTGCAGAGCTTCCAGGAGAAAACAAACATAAGGCCCGGGGGCCAGAATCAGCCCTGCAAGGACTCCAATCTGGCCCAATGGAAAAAGCACAGGAGGGGGTACGTTTTGAGCTTTTAACTGTTTGGGGTTTTTTCACTGATAAAGACCTCCCCCATGGCCATTCATGCTAAACCAAAGAAATGAAGTAATAGATAAACTGTTAAATGACAGAAATATTCCTGTTTTCCACCATCTACCAAAGGAAACCTTTTAAAAAAACATTTTAGTGAATTAGACAAAGAATATCAGGCGCACCTTTTCTACTGAAATAGGTAAATATTAGGTTTAATTGATCAAATTCAATGAGTTTAAAAAATGTAAATATTTCAGGTTAATGTTCACTTTGTATGCTGACCTCAGTTTTTCAGGGATAAGATATCAGATGGTGCATAAAAGCTGTCTGGGTTCTGTTTCATGCACGCAGATATGAAAGTTGAGTCTCTGTTCAATTAAACGGATAATTCAAAATAACCCCCAGAATGGAAAGACTTCGAGGACTTTGATGCTCAAACACGATTGGTCAAAGGAGCTTGGAGCAAAGTCCGAAAACCAGAAGCCTTTTTATTTTCACGTACAAATATCTGTTTATAGAGAAGACCATTAAAGCTCAGACAAACCTCTCCCAGATGTGACTCTCCCATTGGTCCCTTGGTCTCTGGGTTGGCGATGATGATTCTGACCCCCGGCAGGATCTGCTCAAAGAGAGAGACGCAGATCGAGCAAAGACCAAAAACAGCTTCTTTGAAAAAGTTAATAAACGTTAAATTTAAATAAAACTGACCTTCCCGGACTCCATCAGTGGCAGGCTGTGTGGCGATCCCCGCTCTACGAGTCTGACCCTGCAGAGCAGACAAACGGGGACGTTTCTGTTAGTCGGCTGCGTATTATCTCTAATCAACATCCCATAATCAGGATTCTGGACAGGATCTTAACTCTGACTGTTGACCGCTAACGGCTAATGTTGATGTGATGTAAAAAAACAAAAACAGAATTGTGGGAAAAAGCTGAAACAGTAAAACTAAAAATAAACCAGGACGAGTGGTTTGTCAGACTGCAAACACGGAGAGCCTGTGGTAGACTCGGGCCAGCTTAAATCAGCAGTGATTACATGTAATCATGCACACTGACAGTTATATTTATACACAGCGGGATTGCACGGCCCTGCTGCTTCGTGCGCTGCGACTTTTCTGTGTGGAAATCAGCAGACACAGGCTGAGCACCGTAATGACGGGCTGCATCAGGGAGCAGGAAACTGCGTCTGGGGAGCTTCAGGGATGAGTAACAAGCTCCTGACGAGTTCAAATTAATGCATTTTTCAGTTTGTGTCGGTTTCTTGCTGGTCGTTTCGCCGTTGTTCCTTTAATCCCGCAGGCCCTTCTCGTCAGAGATGTTTGAATAAGTCCGAGTCTCGCTTGTTATCTCGGATGTGTTTGTCCATCTCCACCAGCTGGAAAACTGACAGCGTTTCTCCTCTGAAATCTGACACTAATGTTGAGCCCTGGCTGGTTCATTAAGAGTCAGAGCTGTCTCGCTGACAAGCAGCAGTCTGGCAAAACAAATGGCGGTGTTACCCAGCAGGAAATGTGACTCAGACTGGGTTTGATGGGTTTTAAAGTTCACCCCTCTCACACTGTGGAGAGGCTGTGAAGGTGACAGTGTGCATGTCATATTGTCTCAGAGAAACTTCCAGCTTCTCATTATATTCAGACTTTTTTACCGTCAGCCTGCAGCGATGCTTCTGAGCTGCAGAGAATAAGCCTCGCATTACAATAACAATCTTTGCTGAGCACTTTATTTATTCTGAGAGCGCTCGCCAAGTCGTGTTGTCTCATTCACAAACTTCACGAGCGAAGCCGTCCGGCAGAGCGCTGCGGCGCCGCTGAAATCCCGCAGGACACCGGCTGAAGACTTTACAGCACAGAATAGACTGTGTCCGCGTGAGAGTCGACGGAAAACCGATTCAGTGCATGAAAACAACATCTAAGAAATACACAAGGCTGGTGTTGCCGACTCCAGCCGAGCACGAAAATCCATCGGCCTGAAGAAACGTGAGCCATAAAATACCTGGAAGAAAATATTTTGTGTTTGTTGAACCATCTGACAATGTATTTTTTTAATTAATCAAATATCAGTCTGGATTTATGAGTTTGAACTTGTATCGTATTTTTTTTTAATTCCTTTGGTGAAATCAATAAAAATAAATAATCAATAAATGAGAACGCTTACAGTTACTTTAGTTAGACTCTGCCAAAATGTTACAGAAACTGTCACCAATAGGGGAACTGCTGAGTTACAGATGCTCTTTATCTTTTTAGTTTTAGAGTTAAGGCCACTGTAAATACAAACGTGCTCTTAGTGAGGCCTCAGTCACACAGGCCCCTAACAACCTCCCACTGACAGGGAAATCTTCATCAGCTGCTTCATGAGCGGTTTCTGACTCTCACAAAGTTAAATTGGACACATGGAAGATGCTGAGAAGCAGTGAAACAGAGGACGGTGAAACCGGAGCCCGACTGCTGCAACACACTCTGAATGTGTCTCCATTTCCAGTCTGTGTCACGCTTCTCAGTTTCACTGCCGCTTGGAGAGCAGTTGGCATCTTTCATGCAAATTACTGGTGACCAAAGCAGTCGTTAAGAGGTTTCAGACACCGAACATCTTTCTGCAAAGGTATCTGTTAAGCTTCTAACAAAGCAGCAAGGACACTTACCTGTCATGTCGCAGCGCCCTCATATCAACATAAACAGTTGTGGGGTCAGGTCCTGAGGTGCCCTGAGAAACACCAGCGAGAGAAAGTGTGAACACCACAGACTCACAAAACGTCCTTTTTATTCAAAAAAGGCTTTTTATGCAAAAATTGCTACAGCTTATCGACTCCTAGCAGACTGCAGTGGATGCTGTGTGGTCATAAAGAAAAGCTTTACCTCCACTGAAGGAGGGACGTAAATGTTTTGGGTGGGAAACTCCAGGCATCAAGGGCTGGTGTCCTGCAGGTTTTAGTTGTTTCCTTGATCCAACACAGCTGATTTAATTGGCTAAATTACCTCCTCAACAAGTTCTCCAGAAGCCTGGGAACAAACTAATCATTTGATTGAGGTGTGTTGACCCAGGGTGAGATCTAAAACCTGCAGCACACCAGCGCTCAAGGCCTGGACTTCCCCACCCCTGATCTACAGCATTTACAACAGTGTGAAACGATCAATGTGGGAGCAACAGCAGTGATTGTAGAAGGAAAGTCAAACAATTTAAAAAATAAATGCACATCAAACTTTCTGCAAAGTCAGATTCTACCTGATTGACATGCAAACGATAAAGTAAAGAAGGGGAAAGTGATTAGTAGCTGCAATTATACCCACGTGACGACTCACCCAGGACAAATTCACTGTTTCTAAAGTACACACAGGTTGCACAATACATGCATTCAGTCAGATCTCTTTGTGCCGACTACTGTACTCTGAATGAGTGAAATCACTGAAGAAAAATTAAGACAGAGAAAAAGGACGAGATTAAGGATCCCCCTCCCTCTCCGACCTCTCTCCTCCTCCATCCCTCCCTCCATTAATCCAGGATTAAAAACCCACCACCGGACACACAGCGGCATCCTGGGAGTCTCACGCCCACACACCCACAGTGCAAAAATGCAAACGCCCTCTCTGAAGAGACTTAAGGCAGTGACCGCTTCAAGAGTATTCAGTGATTTATTGGCAAAGGGAAATTTGATTGGAACAGGCAGAGCAAACATCCTTTGGTGCTGGACTCACACCACAGAGAGGCACATGCACATGTATCCTTGCACTGTCACGTATTCATGATTTCTGGGAGTTAGCTGCAGCACTGAGCTGCTGCGGCTAACGAGCTTGTTGATAGCAGTGGAAACGTCTTGATGCATTCTCAATCATCCAGGAAAGTAAATCTCCAAAAGCTGATTCTGATCATCTGGACGTAGCGTTTTGTGGGAGAAACGTTTCGTCACTCGTCCAGGCGACTTCTTCAGTCTCAGCTGACTGCAGGTTCCAATCTTATAAACACTACATTTGCATAATGACTGAAACCAGCCCACTGAAGGAACAATGGGCTGGGAGGTCAGTTCCTTAATCTTAATTATGCAAATTCTCATGACCATCTACTTTACAGTCTTAATAATCTTATAGATCTGATCATTTTTTACTAGCCTATTGTTTGGTGATTCCTTTCCTTAATTGTTTTATAATGCCACTTGCCTTACATCTGTCTCTTTACTCAGTCTTATGTTATTTATATGCAGTAGTTTTATGGCTACAGCCTCTATGCTTTTTCCATATGAAGGAAGATTTGCTTGCATGTTTCTATGATGAAAAAAAATCGAGCCATACATGCAAATCAGAGCAGAATCATAGACGGAAGAAGAGACGTGAAAGCGGGAGCAGGTGACTCCAGATAGAGACGAGGGGCGTCACCCGCTGATTACACTGGAAGACAGTTTCCTAATGAGTCTTTGGTCTTAATCACTTGCTTTCTTTGGTGTAGCATTTTATAAATTATGGCCTAGTTTAAAGTAAAAGCAGGGCGCGGCTAGCTTGTGATCGATGAGTCACTGTTGTCTGGGGCTCCTCTCCAGCCCAACTAAAGATCTAGTTCACAAATTTGTGGGTTATAGCAGAGTGGCTATGCTGCTTTATTTGAGCTATTCTAAGATGGATTTTATTGCAAATGTTCTGCTGTTTGTTCTTTTTGTTGCTGGGAACAGAACAGATGTCAATCATCTGTATTTATAATTCATCTGACTGGAGACGTGTCAGCTGTGAGTAACACATCTACAGATTTGGGGGGTTTTCTCCTGGAAAGTGTAATAATTTATCTCATGTCAAAGTTCAGCCAAAATACTGAGTGGGCGAAATCCACAGAGTAAAGCTGCTCCAGTGTCCCTGATATTGACTAAGTGCCGTGAGACCCAGCCAAGCGTCTCTTAAACTTAGATCTAAAGCCATCTGATGAGAGGTGTGCTGGCAGGCAGTGGGGTGGTGATGGTGGCGGTTATTGCTGTTGGGCGGGGAAGGTTGATGGTGGTTTCCTACCTGGTCGGCAAGTTTTCCCAGCCTGTGAGGCTACAGCAGCAAAGAGGGGGCGGAGGAGGAGGAAAGTGAAGGGGTAGAAGAGGAAGTAAAGAAGGAGGGAGGGTGGAGACAAAACCAAGTATGAGAAATGTGGGTGGGGTTACGCACAAAACAAGGAAGTAAGAAAAAAATGTCAAAAGGGTAAAACTCAGAAAACCAAAACAAGCAGTAAGAACAGAAAAGAGTCTTCAGCCAAATGTTAGTCTGCTCATTTAAAGCTGCCAAACAAAGTTAAAGCTTACAGTAAGTTAGCGTGTGACGATTTCAGTGTTACGACTGTGTTAGCGTGCGAGTCTGCAAATTAAACTCGCTGACGATTAAAAGGCTAAATTATATCAGTTTCATATCTCCCCACTAAGTCTGTAAAATCGTTATAATATAATAACTTCTCTTAACAATTCATTTAATTCCTGACGTGGCTGAAAGCTGCAAATCAGATCTGAAATGTAAAAGCAATGATCAGCTTGAAATGGAGGATGGTCCTGAACCTGAGACATACAGGAAATGAAAACCCGCTCTGCTGGTGAAGAGAATGGCTTTTTGTTTTTTAGTGTCCAACTGTTCCGGACGAACGCCGCGCATCTGCAAAAACGGCACATTCAGACGTTCTTGCATTGCGGTCCAAACACTCTTACAGGCTTCAGCTGAGCAGGAGTTGCAGAAATCCTTCAAGTGATAAACGAAGCTGTGAACAAAACTGCACTTCAGCAGAGATCGGCTAGATTTGCTGACTGTTAAAAACTCGTTAAAGGCTGGATATCTGTGATCTTTTCTTGTGGGGAAATCAAACTTCTTCGACTTGTTCTCGGTGTTTACCCAGCAGGCCTCGAAGAAACAACAGAAACACCGAGCACAGAAGAACTGCTGTGAGAGCTGCTCGACATCACACTTTGTAAAAATATAATTTTTCACCTCATCTGCTTGTTTACATCCACTTGTGCACCTTATTCTTGTTTTTCCAAAACAGGTCATTCATGTTCATCACAAGTTGAAGTTTACGAATTCCCGCCTGGGCCGTCTGTATCCAGTAAGGGTCCTGGGCTAGACCCCCCCCATGTCTAACCAAGCCTACCTGAAGCAGTAAGTCATACCGGCTCAGATCAGGTGTTGAGGAGCCAGGGCACTCTGAGGAAGTGGCTACTGGAACAAGAAGGCATCACTGGGCAATAGACGTGTGTTGGAACGCTACTACACAAGTAACCCCAGCAGACGGGGTTAAATGGAATCTTTGATACCCAACAGAAGGGGTACAACAAACATGCTATGATGATATCATCACCTCCACCCCGAGATTGCGTACCAAGCCCCAAGTGATCGTTGAGATACAGTAGGATAGGTTACCAATGCAGCACTACGGACAATACCACTAACCAGCTGATCTACGCTGCTGGAGGCTGAACTTGGCCGCCGCTTGAAGAGAAAGCGTTAGAAGGCAGGAGAAACCAGCTGTTCCACACAGTAGCAGGGAAATAATATGAGACAGAGCAACACTGAAGAGCACAGGACAAGCTCAGTGGATCTAACCACAGCAACCACTCTGAAGAGGCTCTAGTAACCATCACAGTGGCACATATCAAAGAAGGGGACAGGCCCTGACGTGGTCCACACCTACGTCGGTCCTGAGCTATAGCGGTTCTGCATAGACATAAACCCCCTCAATGAGATCATTAACAAGACTGACTACAGAGTGGAGCAGTTGTCAGCCATACAGATGACATGTACACATCGAGCTGTATGCTAAGAGTGAACGAGACATCGATTCACACCACACATGATAACGAAGAGAGGGAAGGTATCAGAACTGAGGGGAGTGAACTACCAGAAAGTGGTTAAAATAGTCCTTAGCAAGTCGCAACTCAACCAGACCGTGTGGTAGCCATCAACAAGCTTTTGGCCAAAAAAGTTGGAGTAGATGTAAACTTCTGACCACATCTGTAGGTCTAAGACTCTTTAAGCTTCGCTCAGGGGCAAACACTAAGAGACAGATATTTTAAAATGCTGCATCTTCAGTCATCTCGACTCTTCTTTGGTTTCATTCTGATACTCAGATCTGGGGACAGTGGTGTAAACGTGCCGTTCACCAAAGATAGCTCAGAGCTTATTATTCAGACCTCACCATACAAGCAGTCCCACAGGTACTGTCATATAAGGAAAAACATGAAACACAGCAGTCGGATGAATAAACCAAACCAAGCCAAACAGCTTCCTCTGACTGGCTTTCCCAGAAGATCTCACTGGAGATGATCAATCCGTATTACTGTAATCACTTTACAGTATTTTATACCAGACAACAGACTGAAGCACAGGATCAAACGTTCATATTCCATATGTTTTGTTCTTTTTCAAATTTCCAAGTAGAGCAGGGCGATATGGCCAAAAATATTTATCACGATATATATTTGAAAATTTGCGATAACGATATAACCGACGATATAATTGATGCGAGACAAAATACAACTCCACAACATTACTAGCGCAAAAAGACAACCTTCCATTTATTTTCACTTAAACAAGAAGCTGGTTTTTATGTACATTAAAGCTTTATAAAAATGTAACAGTGCAAATGCAAATTCCTTGCTGAAAGTTTAACCAAAAGGCATTTCCAGTAGAAATGGGCTGACATATCCTGAGCATAACCATGTATAATATCCACTGAAGTTAAAAAGAGGTGCTTTGCAACATTAAACTGCAGTGTGCAGTACGTATTTTTCGGACCATAAGGTGCACGGGATTATAAGGCACATTAAGCGAAACAAAGCAGTCAGATAAATCAAACTTTATTAAACTCATTCTTCTTGCTTCCTCCACTTCTGTACCATTGATTCATTAATGTTGAATTCTCTGGCAGCTGCTCTATTCCCATGTTGTTGCAGTATATTAATGACTAACCTCGTATTGTGGATGGATTATCTCAGTTGTTCTCCTGACTGAAGTTTGGTCCGTTTACAGCATCCTGCCATGCGATTGCATTTGTCTCTAACCATGAAGAACCTTCACGTTAACTTTTATAAGTGGAAAAGTGTTAGTGTTCGTCCTCCAGCTTCACTGTTTATGTTATGCTAACATAGCTGTGTCGCTAGCGATCACGTAGCACATCATTATATACCAGCTAGCCCAACTTCAGTAACCCTACAAACGTCACTGCTGTTTAGTTTCCTGTCTTCATTTATGTTGGAAGTGATAGCAGAGCTGTACGTTTGATTTTTTTTCAGAAATCTCTCAGTCAGAACATGCAATATCATGCTTAGGTAACTAGCGAAACTAGCGAGCTAACTTCCGCTAGCTTCCTGCTAACTTCTAACTCCGTTAGGGTTGCCAACTCCCTGAAAAATAAATTAAGGGACACCTCGTGGCCAGGGCCGGGCGACCCAGTTGTCTTCACCCTTCCCAGTGTGGTGAATTTTCTAGCTCTTTTTTTGTGTGTGAAATTATTTTTTTTAACCATTTGACTTGAAGTTGATTTAAGTAGATGCATATTCTATTCTTTGTGATATGAACACGTGTGAAACAAATGATCATTTTTGGAAAGCTCATCTGAGCCTTTTCGATGTGGCATCACAAAATCATCACGACCACAACAACCGTGAAAATAGTTGAATTTGCATTGCTGCTCAATCACAGCTGCCTGATCAGTGTTTTTTATTAGCAATTTAGAAAAGTTGATGGTGGTGGTGTGTCTGTGTGAGTGAAAGACAGAGAGAGCGAGCGAGCGACAGATTTTCTGCTATAACCTTCATTTTATGGACGCACAGGGTGAGCTCTCAGGTCGCATCAGAGCATCGTGACCTACGAGCTTCTAACCCCTGCAAGTCAATCGTGCAGTTTGAGCAGGAGCTGAATAACGTGACTGAAAAAAATCGCACAGTGTCTGCCCAGCTTTAGGTGTACTGTCGTCCGAGACTTGCACCGCAGTGTCGGCGTTTGTTTCCCTGTTGGCCATGCTTCTTGTTGTGGTCATCTGTTGTCTTCCGGTATTTTCTCCGTAAGCGACCTTTCCTCGACCAATGAGATGAGCGGTAATCTGAATTGTCATACTCGAATTGTCATAAGTGTGCTGTCAGCTCATTGGTCACAAAGCAGGAGAGGGGCTGGGAATTATGTTTTCAAACAAAGCGTTAATTCCATTAAAAGTTATAGACTACTTTTGATTCTCACTGTATTACGGGACAAAGTGCGTCCCTTATTAGCTCAATACGGGACGTGTACTTTTGTTTCTAAATACGGGACGATTCCGTTTTTAAGGGACGGTTGCAACCCTAACTCCGTTAAATGTAATAACTTTTGTTTTCATGGATGCCTGGAAGTTAAACTTTCATAGTTACACCTGGTAAAGCAGCAATGCTGATCGTTTTATTAAAGATGAAAGAATTTAGACAGTTTTTAACTCTCAGTGATGCTGCAGTGTTGTTTGACCTGAAGATACGAGTTTAGGACCCAGATTACTCCCAGATTTAAGAGCATCTTAGTCCGACAAATACGACAATAACGACGGCCGCTTGCATGTTCTGCAAAAAAATGTGCTTTGTTGTGTATCTGACGGACAAACACCAAACCAGTTCCACATCACTGAAGTTGCACCATTTTTACAAACCAATTCTGGTTCATCTGTTTCACTCAACAATCGGCCATGTGCGTATGAAAACAAAGGCACTGCGCATGCGCGTTTTACTCCCATTCTATCGCGATATTTCATTTTCCTATCGTTGCCTAACATTATACCGGTATTACCGTGAACGGTATAATATGGCCCAGCCCTATTTCCAAGTACGTGCGGCTGTGGCATAGATCCTCGACAGGGGAAAAACAGGAAAGCTCCACATACGTTCTTTGACATCTTTAGGAAAAGCTTTAAGATATCACCGTGCTTTGTACCACGGTGCCTGAACCGTGACGCACGTTTACTTCAGCTGGACTCATCAAACAGTTCAACATTTCTCCTACTCCATCCTGTCAAGGTGTAACGCATCAGACCATCGTCTGCGCTTGTGATGGACTGACAGTGACGACCATCTGCTCAGCCGAATAACGGACAAAATCCTCCTTGTACCTCGTGGATTAAAGTAGACGAGCAGTTATAACCACAGCCTCGGTTTAATGTGATTTATCTGCTGTTAAGTTGAATTTCCCTCGTGTTCATCCGAGTAAGACAGAGTTAATGTCGTTGGAACAGATATTTGGGGGGTTTTCCACCCAGTTTCACACTTTTCTACTTAATGCATAATAATTTCTGATGTAGGGATCAGAGAACTGTGGTTAATGGCTTAAACGCAAGAATACCCTTGTATCATTAAATATGAAAGGATAAATTCTCTGATACCCTAAACTCTGCAAAATCTCAGGCTGCCTGATCTGCACATACCGCACTCATGTGATGAAGATGATGTAAATCTTCCTTTCTCAGTTACAAACTTCTAACAATGGAGTTTTTACATGTTTGAGTCCTGGTTTGTATCAGATCTTAGTTTTTGTTAATGAGAAACTTGTTTCACATGTACCCAAGCTGCAGATGCCACAGTGAGGGTTAAGGGTGCTTCCTGGAATTCTTTCTTCAATACCGAATATTGAGCACAACCGCTAATAACATGCCTGTCCTACAAAAAACCCCCAGCTAGGTTCTTAAACGTGACACCAAGAAATGCTCGAAGGCAAAGCAGAAGCAGGAAGTCGGACAGACCTGCAGGCAGATTGCCAGGTTGACCCTGCAGCCGAAGGAGGTGCTGACGGCTCGGGGGTGGAGTCCCAGGTCCTTGAAGAGTTTGGAGAAGGACTGCGTCAGGGCTATCCTGGGACGCTCCTCTGCTACAACCACGCAGGTCCTCACTCGAGACAAGTCCAGCCCTCGAGCCTGACGGGACAGAAAGGATTTCACAGTCAGAAGGTTTGTCGGTCGTTAAATTCAACCAATGTTTCCGTGAGACTGAGCCGCCCGCCCCGCTTTACCTTCAGCGAGTCCGTCTGCAGGCCGAGGCCTTTGGTGCAGAGCTCCATGACGCTGTAGGAGCAGAAGGTGTCGCGAACTTTGTACTGACTGACGGCTGACAGCCAGAGAGCCGGGTTCACTTCCAGCTCGGACGGAGGGATCAGGATGGACTGGTGACCTGAGTACACACTGCAGAGAGGAGAGCGCTGAGTACGGCGAGGCTGCACGGTTACATGATTAAAGATCTACAAACATGTCAGTCGTGAATACAAAGGAAAACACAAACTAGTGATCATTAATTATACTGAAACTTAAAGAGCAGAGAAAACAGAAACAACCTGGTCATATAAAAGCCTCAAACAGGAACATTTAGAAAGTAAGAAATGCTAAAAACTTCCATTTTAGCTCTAAATAAGAACTAGGAACTACGATTGCCGACCTGCAAAGGCACCAGAGGACAAAGCCCAGGCCGCAGTACGGGTCCAAGCAGATGGCGACCTCTCTGGACGGGTAAAGCTCACACTGCAGCTTGATGGAGCGGCAGAAGGCACTGGTGGCTGTGTGAGACATCTGCAGGAGAAAATCTCACATGAAAATCTTCTTCTTTGTCAGTGCACTTTTTACTAAAAAAAATTATGAAAGTAGGCTTGAAAACTCTGTGCTGTTTATTTGTTTCAGTCAGTGGAGACCTGTGGAGATCGTCTCTGTGCTGCTGGGAGGTTTTTCAAGCAAAACTGAGAATCAGCTGAGGGGGTTTTTTCAACTTGGAGCAAAGAAAATCCAAAGGATGGAGACAAACCTCTTTCACTGGTTGAGATAAAAATGATTAATGAACTAAAAGTGAATTAATTAGCATAACAACAGTCTGGAGGCGGCAGTGGCCACGTGAACTGGCGGTCTTGTTTGCGCCCATTGTGTTTCGGCACCAGTTGCATCGTTAATATCCCGGCTTTGACTGATTTGCTCATTAAGCACAGTGGTTAAACATAATGGACGGGAAATTTAGCAGCACACGAGAAAATACGCTGGCATTGTTTCCTCCTGTCCTGCTCTTTTTGTCATTCTGATTAGTGTGTTTTTCTCAAAGAATTCATTAATGAGGCTTTTGTGTGTGTGTGTGTGTGTGTGTGTGTGTGTGTGTGTGTTGCATACACTCACAGCTGGTGTGAACAGTATGAAAATTAGCATTTGTGGCAAACTGAGCACAAAACAACGAGCAGAAAAGAAACAAAGACACGATCGCACCATGTGAAGCTGTGTGAAAGTAAGAAGTGGAGGTTTGGTTTCAGGTAGGAAGGTTGGTGGTTTGATGCCTGGCTCCTCTAGTGTCCTTGGGCAAACTAATGAAGTTGCGTAAGTACTTGTCCAAAAATATAGCTGCAGCAGTGTCAATCGTTACTTCAGCCGTGTTGATGATTCGGGGAGAATCGAGCTTGACTCCACCATGGAGGTCAGGAGGACTCATTACCTTTTGGAGATAATCAGGATCTCATGTCTTTATTTCTTTACAACAGCAAGAGAGCAAAATTTGACATTATGTGTCATTTCATCACAAACGTATCAACAGATAGATATGTTCCTAGTGATCGGAGGACTTAGATCCCAGACACAAGCAGCAGGAGTGAGCTTCCTCTGGACTCTCAGAGATGGGTGAGGAGCTCAGTCACTTGGGAGGGACTGAGCGCACAGCTGTTTCTCCCCCGCATCGAGAGAAGCTGCTTGAGGAGGGTTCAGACCTCTGATTAGGATCGCTCCTGCATGAACTGTTTCAGGCATGTCCCGCTAGCAGGAGTCCTCGGGGTAGACCCAGGACAAGCTGGAGAGGTTTATATTTCTCAGCTGGGACTGTGGACGTTATCTGGACTATCTTATCAGGAAAAGCTGTCTAATTAAATGATTTTGTTAGTTTGTGACATTTTCTGATATTCTTTTCGATCAACAAAACTTTAGGAGACGAAAAGGTTACAAGATAACTTCTTTTACTGCTTTAGTTTCTTTCGATTTTATGGAAATAGATTTTTAAGTTTACGTTCTTTCTCTGTGAGCATCCGCAGGCAGATTAGAGGCCAAACAGGAAAATGACTTCACTTTCACTCAGACGCACACACCAGATGAACAGCAGCAACGAGCTGAGCACAGGATGGAGGTTTGTTTTACTGCAGTGAATCAATAATCACTTTAATCTTTAAAATGTCACCACCATCTATCTGCTCCCCTCGAACAGACTTCCAGGCTCCGCTGCACAAAAACACGTCAGCACTTCCTCCTGTTTTAAGCTTCTCTTCAGCACCACACGAATAATAACCGAGTAAAAATCTCTTCTTGATAGAAGAAGAGTTTCAAAATAAAAGTCTCTGGCTCTCCTCCAAACCATGTGTTTTTTCTGCTGGGAATAACTGGAGCTATGCTGCTAATGTGGATAAACAACATTAAATGTCATCATTAGCTGTGCGTTGGTGTAAAAGCACGAGTGTGTGAGTGTGTGCTTACTTTGACTCCAGCGAGCATGCCGGTGGTGGAGACACTGAAGTCCAGGTAGGCCAGGGTGTCGGGGTTGGACGGTTTATACAGCAGAGGAGGTTTCTTCTTTGGCAAATCGTCTAAAGGAAACAATCAATTTTCTCACGTCAGAGCTGATGAATTATAAAATACGCAGCTTAGCGTTAGTTTTATTACTCAGTCACTGTTTTTTTGTTCACATAGATCACCTGTTCATTAACCAAACTGTGTTTAATCACTTACAGGGTGCCCTCAAAAAACACATCGCCTACCTGTGTCCATGACAGGAGGCCAGGTCCGGACATCCACGGCCGCCGAGGCTTCTTTGGACCTCAGCAGTTTAGTGATGACCTGCGTGGTCATCACGCACACCGACCGGCTCACCTGCACGATTCAGCGCGCACAGATCATTCATAAAAAAACAGATCAGCAGTAACTGAACGACTCCAACAGTGTGGAGAAATAATCGCTCCTCAGCTCAGCTTCACCTCCCGTTATTCACACGATTCATCTGTTCACTTTTTTGGGGGGCTGGTTTAATAATAATAATCTTATTATAATGATCACAGTGTACGTATGCACGTCTGTCCTCTAACTCCTCCGAAACATGTCATTCAATCTGGATGAAACCTGAAATATAAAGTGAAATATATATATAAAGGTGCCAGGATATCAACGTCTATGTAGCTTTTGGAAATCATTTTTATAACACTCAAATTAAACTGATTATGTCCACGTTACAACTATTTCGTTGGCATTAAGTCTACGTTACGACTTTCAAGTTCTGTCTGTCCCGCCTGAAATGCACTCCTGGGCTTTTCAAAGTAAAATAACAGCTTTCCCAGAATTTTATGTTTTTAAGGTTGTAAAGTTCTGGAGTGAGAATCTCAGGAATGAATATAGTAAATATTAAAAGTTTTCAGTTTTAAGTTATTGTGACTACGTCATCTAAGAAATCAATCTTTTATATTTACAGACACAGAAAAGTCGATTTGTAGGTAATTTGGCCTTTACTTAAATGAGCAACTGTCTGTGTGTTTCTTTTATCATTTTAAACCCTCGCCTACATCCACATGTCAGGTTTTCTTAGAAATACCTGCATCTGCTAAGAATAAACTGCTGAAGCTGTCAAAATATTCTCATTAATTTTTTAAATTAAGAAAACAGAAAGTGAGGTGAAGAGGGGGCGGTGACTTGCACCTACGTGATCATTCACGTTTTTCTCAAATACTTTAAACACAGAGATTGGAGCCGTCACAGAGTTGGTTTACCTCCACGATCATCTTGACGGTGGGCAGCGTGGTGGCGATGTTTTGCGGGTGAGGCGGCCGCACCGTGATTGGCACACAGCCGGCGTAAAGGCAGCCATAAAACGCCACGATGAGGTCGATTCCTGGGAGAGGACGTAGAGATGAGAGAAGAAATAAGAGGGGATGAATTGGAAGAGAAAGGAGGGTTGGAAGAAAGAGAGGGGAGAATTTGGAAAACTTAAATAAGTTACAGCTATTAAGGTGCCGTATACTGAGCGATGGACCCTCGGGGCCGTTAATTGAATGCAGCTTTAAGAAAATCTGCTCGTGTCGGGTTGTTTTTCCTGCACGGCTGCGTCTGTCCTACTGTGATGGACACGGCGCGCTGTGTCTCAGAGGGTAATTACACTTCCTGCGTCCTCCTTGTTTTTCCCCGCGGCGCTCTCTTCGATCTAACCGAACTCACTGAACATGTTTGGCGCGTCCTTCATTCCTCATTTTAAAACATCCCAAGTTTGTCCTTGTTAAACGTCAACAATTTAAAGGATCGTTAAAAAAGTCGCATTTAACCCATTTTAGCACAAGTCGTTCTCTAGAAACTTCATCCATCCTTTCATTTCTTTTGCTTATATAGGGCAGTCACTGAAAGTATAATAAGGTTATCCACTCAAACACTTTATATGTTTATTGTCATAATTACAATGACGGTTTTTCGCCCGATGCCCAAATAATTATTATTTTCCATCGTCCCAAAGAAGCACTGTGGAAGTGTAAGTTCGGCTTGTGGGTAAATCAAACATGCATCATTTTCACATTTTTTTCCAATTAATAAAAAACGAGCACTGCTACATTAGTGAATGAGTAATAATAATTGTAAGATATAATGCATAGGCACAAGGGGCAATTTTATACATAAGTCTGTTTATTTTAATACTTTCTGAACATTTGTCAGACTGTTTAAAAACTTCTACTTATTTTTTTTCAATGCACAACTTTTAGCATCAGACAATTTTACAGAATAAATGCTGGTTACAGCCTGTGTGGTATTATGTATGTCCTGTAATTGCATTTAAAATCATTTTCATTTATTCATCTGCACTCTGTGTTTTTTGAACTTCAGTTAAACAGAAGGGAAGAAAAAATGCATTCAAATGAAAGATGGTTTGATTTTTAAATTAATAGATGCTCATTTAAAATCATTAAAAACAGATTCCAAATGACAATTTCTGTTATAAAGTAAATATTAACAAACATTAACATAAGCACTGGTCTAAATTATTCTTTTTGGCATTTTTGTCTTTTATTAATTCTAATTTTTAATTGTTTTTAATAATAAAAAAAAGGTCCAACCTGCTGTTTTGGACCAATCAGCAATCACAGCAATAAAAAGACAACTGTAGGTCAAAGATTCAAAAACTAAAATGATTAATGTGCAACCTTCAGTTCTCTAAAATAGTTTCCTAAGTCTGTCTGCATCGATTTGTTCATTTACCCAAAATATTCGTCATAGAGGGTCGGGGCTCATATTGCTCCCGTTATGTAACAATAGCTGAGTCTGTGTGTGGCTCCGAATCCAGGTACATCTGTCCATGTAGTACATTAATAGTAATCAGGACACTTTTCCAAGCTTTTTATTTCCTGGTTCAGATCAGCTTTTATTTTGAAAATTTGAGGGATTTCGGTAAATCTATGACATCCTGCAGTGTCACCGCAGAGACACAAGTACAGCAAGCTGACCTGCTGTCAGTGTTTACCTGGAGGGTAGACCAGTGCAACGTGGTCTCCATCCTGCAGGTGGCCCCGTTCAGCCAGCATGGCGGCGATCTTCTCTGCTCTCTTGTGCAGCTGAACACAAGTCAGAGAGCTGGCTATCGTACCCTGGGGGAGGGGACACACACACACACAGAAGATTGACACATGCAATCAGCAGCGTGCATCAGTAAGTGTCATGTCACATTTTCCGTTGCAGCATCTCAGCGGTGAACAGCTGTAAACAACCCAGCGGATCCTATTGCCATTATGCAAACTAACAGTGGTGAACACCTCCCAGCCCGGATTCCTTTTCTTCAGCCAACACAGAGCAGAAAGAAAGACCTGCATCTTCTTTTCATTTCTGCCTCCCTTTAAAAGCACACGCACTGCTTCAAACAGCCCAACTGATTCCTGTTAAAGCTCCTTCCCATGTAATACATACACATCACCTATACTTCAGCTCCTTAAGTCATTTTCTAGATTATTTAGGAGTTCTATATCATAACATATCATTCATATCACGCTTTAAAGCAAACCTTTGAGACAAAAAAACAGAATAATGTAGATTTAATATTTTAAAGTTTTAAAATATTATTATTTAAACAAACTATGAAGCTCTGTCTGCCAAGACTGAGAAGGATAAGCCATTTCTGAACACCCCTGCTGACCTTATCATACTATTTTTTGATAAGATACTAAAAACTATTAAGTCAATATCATCTCATACACTGTGTGTGTGTGTGTGTGTGTGTGTGTGTACTGTGAGGACTCACCCTGGAGTTGAGGAGTGTGTACAGGACGTGGTCTGGAGTGGTCTGGGCTCTCCATTGTAACACCTCAGACAGGAAGAGGAACTAAAAGACACAATCAGTAAAAAGAATGAGATTATAAATTGTAACCATAAATAATAACCATGAAATATCCAGCAGAGCAGCACTCGACATTCTTTCTGAATTTTCAATCTGAGAAATGGATTGAAGGAATCATTCTAGTCTCTTTGAAACCCAAAAACATAACAAAAACAGTGTACGCTCAGATCATCTGTGCTGAAGGTGACCGGGGTCGGGCTGGAGACGTGCGGGATGCTAGCAGAAGTATCGGAGCTGCTGCTGCAGCAGAGAACCACCTCTGATGGTCCTTGGTGGAAACGACTGGACAGAGACACCGGGAGGGCAGGGATGGAAGCACCCGGGTCTCGCAGCTGTTTCAGTTCATTTCAAGTAAATAACACAGTGCCAAATCCCAACAACTGTGTGAAGGTGCAGACCTACAACATTAGAGGGAAAACCCCTCCAATCACACAATCCTCTACTAGCAAGCACCAATCACAGCAGGAAGGAAAACCTCCACATGGCCTGTCCTCAGTCCCAATACGCCCCCTACTGAACATGTTTGGTACATACTTCATCAGAGGCAGCCAAACTAACGACCACTGCATAACTGTGAGTTGCATTCATTCAGGAATGGAGAGCAGCTCCGGAACAACAGATGCCATGTGCAACCCAACATGACATGTGCAGTCCAGGTTTAGACAGACGACTGCTTGCATCACTTGTATTAAACATCTGGCATACGCATATATTATAGTGTCAGTCTATCAAGTTGTTACATATGTTAGAGGTCTGGCAAATGCATGTTTTTTTATTACTGGAAACTCACTGCATGTCTTTTTTAAGACAATATTTAATTTACTAGAAACTCTGAATGCACCCCAGTGACCCCAGACCTGCAGCTGGAAGGACCGATGCTTTAAAAATGCAACAGAGTTCAAAAAGGTTTTTGAATCAAATTGAGTGAACGTACAAGTGGCATACAAACAGCCAAAGTCAGCTGCAAAACTGTCTAAATCTCAGCTCGTGAACAGGTGATCAGCTGACTCGAACATCTTAAAATGTGCATGAAGATGCCCGTGAATAAAACGGGAGATTGGAGGAACTTTTCTCAGTTATCACCACCAGTAAATTCTTTAAATGGCAGCATTTTTACAGCTAAAATATCCCCACAGTTTATCACGCGAGCACGTTTTCTTAGAAACGAGCCCTGTGACGTGACTCATTTTGGCAACCAATAATGGCAAAAACTCTGCTCCCAATATGTTTTACAGCGTTGGAGCTCTGCTGAGACGCAGACCGAATGCTGATGAAGTATCCTGATAAAATGAGATCCTGGCAGCTCAGTGTGCGGGGAAATTAAGGTGATGCACTTAATTTGTCAGAGAAATACGGAGGAAGGAGGGCGATGTTAGTGGAAAGGCAACAAGATCTTCATTCTTCACAAAAACAGAGACAAAAAGCGAGCGTGATGGAAATTACAGCTGGGAGGAGAGAACGCCTCGAGACAGGGCGAGTTTGTTTCTGGGCTCATGAATTTTTCAAGATTTGCTGCTGGAGTGAAAGTCATGCCTGTTGAGCTTTGCTCTGCCAGAGAACATCACTTTATATGTGTGTGTGTGTGTGTGTGTGTGTGTGTTCATGCTGCCAGACGCTTTGGTGACAGATGAGAATTTGGCTTTCAGACTCTTAATCCTTCGACCGTAAAACAAATGAACCTCTGCACCGCACCGTGTCCGTCACATCTGGGAAGAGGCCGGGTGCGCTTGATTTGTACTGCAAATTTCACCGACTGGGACCAGCTACACAACACTGAATTACACTGCTACAGAAGCTTTAATGGTATGTAAACTGTTGCTCCTGCAGCTGCAGAAGAGGAGACAAGGTTTTTTTCTCATCGACAGAGCCCACGGAGGTTTGCTCGTGGACACTTTTTCAGCTGTGGGGAAAGAATACGGCACGCACTGAAATAAAGGAGAAGCATTCTGGTCAGATTTCAGAGACCCTGAGATCCAAATCCCAGATGAGCCCCACTCTGTTCACACCCTGAATACAAAATAGATCAGCCACATTTGATATTTATTAGGACCAGTGAATTAAAAGTAACACATATTTTGCTCTCTGGAGACTCTAGTGATGAACCTGCTGACTCAGAGAGAGACAGACAGTTGAAGGAAGATGTTTTTTTAAAGCCTAATCAGGTGCTGATTGCAGCAGATGATTATTGATTGAAACTAACCCGAGCGGACAATCCAGAGGAGGTAACAGCTACTAACCTGCTGTACGGGCTGTGTGTTTACCTTCTCGTACCCACAGGATCTCTCCCACCTTTCTGCTTAGCAAATGAGGATAATCATTACAAAGTCTGAATAATCTTTAATTATAACTTCAAAGCTGTGCGCCACCTCAAAGAAAAGCACTTCATTATAACGCTGTATATCAGTAATTAGGACATCTTTAATAATGCCAGCAACCTTTATGATAGCAACAACGTTTTTAAAAATGTAATAATTTGTAGCAAAACTTCAGAATGTGGTAACAATGAGTTCTGTCTCAGCCCCCCATCATCCATATGTGACTGAGACTAGGGCTGTTCCATATAACGATATATATCGGATGACGATATAAAAACGTCCATCGTTTCATTTTACGCTATCGTTTGTTTCGTGGTGTCGCAAAATAAACTGTTTACAGCGACATTTTTTCATGGTTTTGATGGTCGCTGTAGTGGCTATATTCATTTCTTAAAGTTCTCTATTTCTCTTATATTTAATATAACCACACTACAGACGGACAAGCGCCTGTTTTTATGCGTTGTCGTTAGCAACAACGACGGTAACACCTTCGCGTGTCTGCTTGTTTATGTTCCACATAAACCTTTCACGATAAAGCTCAAGATCCTGTTGAGACTTTTCAAAATAAACTGAATCACGTGAAAGAGCAGATTATTTACGGATGAGAAGTAAAAAAGAGTCGCCAGGTGTTTAAAAAATAAACCTTAGACTCAAACGTTAGAACAGGCTTTTCCCCGCAGCACTCCGTGTAACAAATACTCACAAAGAAAACAGCGGCCGTTACAACTTATGTCTAAAAATGTATAGCTTCATGCATCGGTTAAAACTCCAGCTACACGACGCGCAGCTGGAAACACTTCCCGCAAGTCGAGCTGCCCGAGATTCAAGAATTTACAGAAAATGTTACATTTTTGTGATTTATATCGTTATCAGAACGATAGATGTCTTATATCGGGATATGAGATTTTGGTCATATCAGCCCTAAATGAGACTCATTGTTACCACATTCACATGTCAGACCTGATCCTGGCACAAGACACGTCAACACCTCACACAATGAACATTCTCAGATTTCGAAGTGTACATTTCCAGATTTTATTTCTATAATGTATATCATTCACTCACTGTATATAATGTTCTCTCTCTTTTTGCACAGTCGAGGAGCGTATCAGGACACATTTCCCTGCGTGTTGAACTTGTATAACTATGAATGTGACAAATAAAGAATCCTGAATCTTGAAGTTGACAAACGGAAACGTTACAAATTTGAATCACCATCTTAACAGTTCTGGTGACCACAGACAAAACAATATTTTAACTCGTGATTTTTGTGTCCAGCCATTATTTCCTGATTATTATAGTCCAAAAATAAATTAATTAATAAAACAATCCTGATAACAGTTATTCGCCCATCAATTCTCTTCTGCTTGGCCAATTCAGGGAGGTGGAGGCTGGAGCCTCTTCCACCTGTGAGAGGTGGGGTGTTTTCAGCCTGTCACAGGGCTAACACAGAGACCATCCACAACCACATTCACACCTATGGCCGTTTTACAATCACCAGTTAACCTAACTCCACTAACTGCATGTCTTTTGACTGTGGGAGGAAGCCGGATTACCCGGAGGGACACGGAGAGAACATGCAAACCACACGGAAAGGCCAGATGTGCATCAAACCCAGTGCCGCCGCGTTGCCCATCTATTAGAATATCTATAGAATCTATAGATATATGAAAAAATAGCAACAGTGCTATCAACTAACAGACGCTCACTTTGAGTTCAGGTTTGGTCTACACCGACTCCTGAAGGCGTCTGTCCTCTGATGAACCTCAGAGATAAACCTCGGTGGGTTTATCTCAGCGTGTCTGCTCGAGCAGAGGTTGTTAAAGCAAATCCGCAGACATAAATATGATGAATCCTTTCGAATAACAGTAAAATGTATCTCGTGTGTGAAAGTAAAATCCATGTGTGTGATTAATGCTGCTTTCTTGTGGTTTTTAATGTAAGCTGTGAGCAGATTAATGCCTCACTTATCAAAACTGTTAATTTAAACGACTCTTCAAACACTCCGGTACGACCCACAGCGTTCTGCTGCTGAAACCATCGCTCAGCTCCAAGTTTCCAGTTTCGATATTATAACCCTCAGAGTCTGGCTGACGAAAGATGGCGTCATCTGCTCGCCACCAGCTTCACGCATGGCAGACCTCGAGGGGGTGCAAAGATTTAAAGGAGGTCTCTCTGCTCTGATGAAAACATCACTCAGCTGCTTGTGGGCTCAGCTCTGAGCTTTCATGAAACTTTCATAACAGCAAATTAGAGTTTGCTTCCGTTCCAGCTCCCTCATACGTTGCCATCTGCTGCGTGGTGAAATGTCCTAAACACCTTGCAGCTCCGTGGCTGCACATGTATTAACGAGGGGGATCCAAACGTTTGCTTTACACAAGCGGGCTTTGTGCTTAACCTTCAGGAGGAGGGTAAAGTTGTTTGTTGCTGTTTGTAAAAGATGCTTTGGCCTGCAGTTAAACCCGAAGCCTGGAAGAACTGGAACCTGCCTGCAGATAAAGCTCGTGTTATCTGTGAGAGAGAGGGCTGGCATGCTAAACAGAGACACAAAGAGCTTCTGTCTGCAGATACAAATCTGGTCTCGTATTGTAGCATTTTATCAGCGTGTGAGCGAGGGTGCCGAATTCTCGGGCTAAAACACCGAGTTGCTCAGTTGTATCTGATGTCATTATCAGAGAGGACAATCGCTTCAATGAAACACGACACAGCAGCCACCTGGCCGGTATTACATCCCCTACATTTGGATGAAGAAAACTGCTAAACCCTTCTAGTGGCATCTGTTGCACTGCGCCGACTACGAAGCTAGGAAACTGTTTGTATGGTGGTCTGAAGTGAGATATTACATTTTTCCTCTTAGGCTATGTTGAATTTAATGCCAAGGGATCATTTTGAGGTAAAGATGCAAAGACCTTCAGGCAGGATCAAAGCCTCAAACAGCCAAACAACTTTAAAACAACCCAACGACTTTGGGTTCTGTTATGTGTGATTTTATGAGGCTGTATCTTTGCACATTTACCACCAGCACGGGCATTGCTATAGACCAGGCAGTAAGACAAGGTGTTACCCTGACCACCGAACCCTAAAATCCCAAAACATCACAGGCATCTGGGGGATGTGCCAGAGAGTTTGATCCACAGGAGCCAAAGGACCTGCTGCCAGTGTCCCAGTCACACAACACAGGACACAGCCAGCGGTCCCACATCCGTTCCCTGAAGGGTAAAAGGTGTTTCACAGCACAATGTTAGGCAGGTGTTTTTAATTATGTGGCTAACATGTGCACAGTGTATGCACAGCATTCAAAACAAGCCTGTCGTAGTTTTCAATTCCACTTAAGAGCTATTATGTTTTTAAAAAATCTTTTGGCATTAGAACCTGGAAATAAAAGCTCCTTTTTGGATATTACTGAATTATATGTGACCATTGTATGTGTGAATGCTGAAATCAGCATTTGCCACAGATTTTATTCACTTTGATTGTTAGAGTCTGCAAAAAGAAGCCTGGGTTATTAGAAAAATAGAAACACTTGAAACTCGCTGATAGAATTCTGAGTTTAACGTCAGAATTCTTGCAAAGAAAAAGAAGGACACCCCCCTCCTTTTTTCCCCCAGTGGCTCTAATCCTCTTCCATAAGTTACAGTTTCTTCTTTGTGTTTGTTTGTTTTTTTCATGCTGCTTTATGGAAACAGCCGTAATGAAATAATAATTTTCCATGAAGTCATGAGACAAGCAGTCCTGTCTACAGAGGCTGAGCTCATCCCAGTGTGAGCGTTTAGTGCTCAGTCAACCATCGCCGGGCAAATCAACGTTATTAGAAGAGGAATGTGAGAAAACACTCGTAGTGAATCACATTTTACTCTCTATGAAGTTACACAGAAAACATTTTAATAAATACAGGAAGTTGGGGTTGTTTCACTCATCCGCACAGAGGGCCTGGTTTTCAGTGGGATGGACATGGAAGGAGGAAGTGGGGTAAAGTGGAGCGATGAATGAATGAGCGGATCAGACAACAAATGTCCCAATAAACACGGTGATGATGAGGACAAGCAGCAGCAGTAAACACAAACCCTACGTCCTGATCCTTCTCTAGAGCAAAGATGGCGTCACCCTCAGCACGCTTCAGGATTTTCACAGTAAAAACTAAAACACAAACACACTCTTCAAATTAAACCTGCCTTCAAAACATCAATCAAAGCATTTAAAGCAAATATGTAACCCGTTCCTGGATTATTCTGCAGTCGAGCCGAGCCGCAGTTTGTGTCCCACTCTGAGCGGATCATCACTGCTGGGATCATCCCAGTTTCATTTGTCATTACTTTGTGAACCGTCTTATTTTAGCAGAGTTTCCTAAGTGGCAGAACAGAAATCTGGATGTTTTAGGAACATACGGGAAACCGCTGATTTGAGATTAAATATATTTAAATTGTGAGAAGAAAAATTACAAAAAAAGTTAGAATTTGATGTGAATCAATTGTTAGTGCATAGCTTCTCAATAAGCAGCCTTAACCAACCAAGAACTCAAGGCACTAGTGTTTCTATATCTGTGGAAAACGCCTCTATGCTGGTGCTCCTCCTGCGTATGGACGCCTGTTAGCTTATCTGTGGTCTTCTCGGTTTAACTTGTGCATACGCCATAATTGCTGTGCAACGACCGTGCAGTGAAGAAACAAAAAGAAAAGCTTGTGTTTTAATGTCGGCTTCACTTCTCCTCACCTCGACAGTCGTCGATAGGTGTCGTAGCTTTTGCACACAGCTGTATCTACACACAATACAGGAGACATCTCATCTGTTTGTCGGCATCCAAACACACATGCGGCATGCTGAGAGCGAGGCTGAGGCTGCAGCAGCCTCCCAGCGCGCTGCGGTGGAGGTGGTGGTTGTTATTATTTAGGGCCTGTCTCTTTTCATCAGAGTCTACAGAGTGTGCGCTCTCTGCTGCCGGCTGCCTGACTGATGACATTTTCAGCACGAGAGACGAGAGGAAAATCGCTTCTGTCAGTAACGCACACCACCTCCTGCTATTCATCACTCCTAATCTCTCCGTCTCTCTACTGTGTATTTAAATCACCTCACTTTGTCTCATCTGTGTTTTCTTTTGGTTTCCTTATTTACTTTTGTGCATGCTGCCCGCTTTCTGTTCTTGCATAACACTGAGTTTTTCTATACAGATGCTTAAACATACCAGGCAAAAAAAAAAGATGATAAAACATCCCATGTTTGCTTTTTTTAAGCCCCAAAACTCATCATTCTTCTGTGGATCCACCAGGAATATAACAATTTGGCTTTTCTTGAAAATACAATAAAATAAAAAGCTAAGACAACTTAAGCGTGCCGAGTTATACTAACTAGTTATTCAGTGAGAATGACTAACATGAACTTAATGTCTTATGCCAAAGGAAAACAGTTAAATGCAGTTTATATAACCTGAGTCCTTTTGTTCATGAGGACAGTTCTCCTCTCCTCCAAGAGGCTTCTTCAGTTGTTCGTGTAGAGTCCCAGGTATTTAACCACAAGTGGGGGTTTCCCTATAAGTGTGGTGCTGATGCTAAAGTTGGAAGAGAAAAACTAATTTTGCTCCTTAGCAAGGTTTTTTCTTTCCCCAACTTGCCTGATGAGTCCTAAATCTCGCCCTCTATTCAGTCATTTAAATTATTTTAAAATAATGTTTCCCACTTTTCAATGCATCCATATTGGCCCCTCCCTACCTGTGCGACTGACTCCACACTGACACTCCCACTCGCTCCCTTAGGTCTTCGTCTTCTGCTCACCGCCCCGTCTCGCCATTATGGGGAACAGAGCTCTCGGCCGCTCTGCTAGCCGGCTCCAAAGTTCACTTCTGATATAAGTAATACAGGCTCTCTTCCCTTATTCAAGTCAAGCAGAGCCAGCTCAGCCGGACGAGCCTCAGCCGTACATCTGCGCAGCGTTAAAGGAACGCTGCTTTTATTAACATCTGGGCACCGACCCGGAACATGAACACTCACCGGGAGTTATTCAGCGCTGCAGGAGCCTCAGTCATGGTGGCCAACAACAGCTAAACCTTAACATTTTTGTCAGCTACGCAAACACTGGAAACCACATCGCACAGCCTCAACAAAATGACTGGAATGACTGAAATAACAATCACAGCACAAGCAGAGTTAAACATTAATAGTCCCACGGGGCACTGCGAGGCTTTGCCAATGCAAAGTGTTCTGTACTTCAAAAAACAAGCCATGAATTATTAAAAGGAAACAAGTACGCACAAACACACTCCTCAGTCTGTTGGACGAAGGTAAGGATAACTCAACATAACTCAGGAAACTTCAAAAACTAGCACAACTAAGTTAATTAGACCAATTAAATTAGGCGAGAGTTGTTTACAGTGCTTTACACGGCAGACAAGGACTCCATTAAGGTACCATTAACACTTTCTGTTGAGTGAGTTATTAATGAGAATAAGTCGTAATGGAGTAAGACATGAAATGAAGCCAGATGCGTAATTATGTGTACTTTGTGTGTGTCGTGTTTATGATGATGGCGATGATGCAGAAAACCAGCAGACCCCCCCTCTCACACACACCTTCCTTGCCTGGTCATTGTCTTCGATCTGACCCAGATCCCTGCCGCTGGCCTGGGCGATCCTCTTTCCCGACACCAGATTCCCGACCATCACAGACGCAGGACCGATCTCTGGAGGAGGAGCAGGGAGACGGGGACGAGAGCTCGGTATGAACAAATACAAATACAATAAACAGATTCTACATTTTTATCTGATTACAGTCAACGATAGTTAAAAAACATTACTGGTATAAATGCAAAAATACGGATTGAATTGTCACGGCAGGAAACGCACAGCTGTCAACAATGGCTGCGATGTAATCGAGCGCCGCACAGGGCCGTGACAGACCGACTGTGAGTCAGCACGCACAACATCAGGACCCTGGAAGTGGGGCGGCCAAATTGAGAAGCTGATTTTTTAAATTTGTGCTTTCTTGGAACATTTTTGTCTTCGATTCTCTTTTCTTTGTTTGGGTCGTTCCATCTAAACTCCGGTTGACACTTCTGCTCGCCTGAGCTGGAAACGGTGAATACTTCCAGCCACTGAAGCCAGCGTTCGGCTATTTTGTCAGAAGTCACATTCACATACAGTGACATGCTGCCCATCATTTCAAGCTCAGATGAGGAGGCAGGAGGGGTTGTGATGTTTCACACTGATTTGAGTCACGCAGATTTAGTGAGTGAAACAGCTTAGAAAGCTTACTGGTTTCTTTAAAGTACTCCTTTCCCACAAAATTAATCCTGCGTGTGTAAAAACTCCACTTAAGGACATCTAGTGTGTTTATATGTGACATCAAGTTGTTCTATAAGCTATAAGAGCCTCTATAACGAGGATCCCTTAACTGTGCTCTCACGTATTCGCTCGTCCTCGTACTGTACCTGGCTGCTTCTGCCGGGGTTTGGGCAGGTTCGTTACGCAGGTGTGCGGACACATGAGCACGTTGCAGGGGTGCAGCGCCCCCTCCAGGAAGAGCTGCTTGGTCTCGGACAGGTGGATGCCACCCAGTGGAGTCTTGGGCAGAGTGTTGGAGGGGACCAGAGCCAGGCAGTACACCCCCACCTGGTGGATACCGTCTATCGCCTGGAAGACATCGTGTTGGGAGAGGTATGCTTAGATTTATAGATGAAACAATGTATCGAAGGTAATAACTAAGATAATAAATCATATTATTATGCTGTTGCTTTGATTACTATAATATTAGTGTTTGATCGTTTTTTGCTCCATCGTTTCATCTCAGCTTCTTTTGAAATCGCTGATTGCTTCTGCAACCCGACAAACCAAATGGAAAAACACGCGGGCGGAATCTGCAGCGGTGAAGGAATAAAGAGAAATGGTTTTACTGCAGCAGTTAAAACTCCAGACGGCTTTTATAGCTTTGCCACAGTCGCCACGCTGGCTCAGAGACTGTGAGCTCAGGTTTTATCTATACAGTATGAATGCATAATATAGTATCACAAGCTGTGTGTGTGTTTGTATGACTCTGGGAGTGAAGGAGGCTGTGAGAGCTGTTTTGTCACTTCAGCAAGTGGGCTGTTAAAATGTGTCTGCTGTGTTAAAGGACCAGGCTGGTTCTATTCTGCAGTTTTCCAGCTTCTGATGAAAAGACAAAAAGACAAGTTGTGTTAGATTTTTAGATTTTGAACTCAAAAATCCTACGTTGGCTCGTTTTCAAGTTATCGCATTCACAAACTTGGGTGTCCACACTACCGAACCCAGTGGGTTGACGACAATATCCCATCAGTTATCCATGACTAATGGTAAAAGCAGCTCACAGATACTTTTTGACAACAAAATTCTCAGAATTACAGGTTAAAAAGTACTCAGTAACTCTTTGAGGTTATTTAACAGAAAAAATGTTGTCATCAGACAGAAATGAGCTTCACTAAGTCGTCTAATTTTACCAGAGTCCTTCCACAAAGTTTTACAGCCTGCTCCAGAGTAAACACACATGGACACTTCTCACACATCATTGTCAGCTGAGGTTAACAGTGTACTGTCAGTGTACGTGGATATATACACTTTTAGTGGGAGTGGGTCCGGAGTCACTTTGCTGTCTGAGTACACTCACTACAGATGAATGGTGTCCCGAGCTTTTCAAGTATATTTAAATAGGTGAATTATCTAATCAATGCTCTGCCGACCATATTGTTTTTTTATTTCCTGATTTATTGATAATTGTTGATATTATTTAAAATCAGTATATACAATTTTTTTCTTTCTTTCTTTTACACAAACATGTAAAAGAACATAACATGCCGGTTAGCCACATGGGGTACAGATGCAGTTAGGCAGTCTAAATAAAAGAGGTTTGTTCTATAGCAGGGGTGGGGGACTCCAGGCCTCGCGGGCCTGCAGGCTTTAGATGTGTCCTTGATCCAACACAGCTGATTTAAATGACTAAATTACCTCCTCAACATGTCTTGAAGTTCTCCAGAGGACTGGTAATGAACTAATCATTTGATTCAGGTATGTTGACCCAGGGTGAGATGTAAGACCTGCAGGACACCGGCACTCGAGGCCTGGAGTTCCCCACCCCTGCTCTATAGCAACCACCATAGCTAGGATTATACGCTCTTCTTTTCCAAATTTGCTTCTAAATCTGTCAGAGATGACTCATTTTTAGTCGTGTCAACTCTCTCAACAGTTCTTTGTTGTTCATACAATGGAAAACTGGCATCACAGGGATTAAGTCCTGCTAGTTTACTTCATGTTACAGTAGCTCTCTCAATAGCACCCAGTGTAAAACTGAACTGAACTGAATAAATATCCCTGCAGATGAGCCCTTTGCCACTGATACCTGATCGAGAGTCATAATCAAGCTAATCATAATGGAGAGAGGTACGAGAACAGAGCCAGGCAACCAAAAACAAACTACTGCAGCAGGAAATGACAATCCTGTCTGAAATATGAGCATACCTGCAAAACTCGACTCATCCACTGAAAGCTGTCCTCCTCAGTCGAGTCCGGCCGCTGCTCAGCCACGACCACGATCCTCTCATCATGGAGCACCGTGATGGAAAACACTGCTATCCTGCAGAACACACAGAATTAGCACATTTCATTGCATGCAGTTTAACTGCGCTCCACACAGCCAGCCACCAAAATGACCATAAAGTCCAATCAGCAGCTTATAATATTTGTGAAGGGGCGGATTTATAGTGGCGCTGCTGCGTTAATGTGTTTGAACCACATCCCCCTTTTGTAAATTAAACACAAGCTCCACAATAACGAGAAACATCCTGAGTCCTGCTTAGAAATTAAAGCAAAATTAACGCTTACCGTCCTCTGTAAACGAACTTCATGGGCTCCACAGCCAGCGCCGTAGCAACAATGTCGTCAGCATTGTGCCGACGCCCACCGACCACCATCAGACCGTCCATCTTCCCAGCAACAAAGATCAGACCTGCAGGTCCGATGAATCCCAGCAGGCCGGTCCTGGTGAAGGGAAACTCGCTGATGGGAGTGCCGTTGTTGGACACGGGAAAGACCTGCAGAGGTTTTAAAGACACGACATGTAAACAAAACGCACACAAGATAAATAAACAACCGAAGCATTCACGCTCTCACCTCGAACGTGTTCTTGGTCATACCGGCCAGGCCGTAATAGGAGGTCCCCGTGGCAACAGTACAAACGCACATCTCTCCGATCTCATCTGTTTTACAGAGCTGGGGAACACCTTCGAGCTTCACTACACACATCAGACCTACAGGCAGAAAGACAGACGCTCTGGGAAATCCATTCTTACTGGTTACAGTGTCGTCTTACAGCAAAGTTAAAATAAAAGTTTTAACTATTCCCAGACTTCAAAACAGGTATTTGTTAGGCAGGTATTTCCTCCTCCATCTCCCATGCACGGAGGAAATACTCCGTCTCCCATCAGGGAAAGGAAACCGTTTTCTCTTGTTGACTAATTTCGTGATTCTTACCTGCAGAATGAAGTAAGTCAGAAATAAGGACAACAGTGAGTCTCTTTTTTGACCTTAACTCTACCTTTAAGGTCTTAATTAAGTGCATCAATACCAAAAACATATATAACTCCTTAAAAACAAATCCTGAAACCATGCAGTAAATAAACAAAACAAGCAAAAGTCTTGTGCAGGTTCGATAGATGTAAAAATAAAGTAAACAATCGCTCAGAGTCATGATGGCATCATGCTGAAAGCAGACTACTCTTTGGCTTTAGCGGACAAACGTAAATTATATATATACAATTAAAAAAGTATCACAACTTCAGCAGTGCTCGGTTCAAACTCTGCTTTTTGGACATCTGTCTCACCTCCGGGCATGACGGAGCCGACGTCCTGCAGCGTGAGCACCGACAGCTTCTCCTCCGAGTCGACCCGGATCACGCCGTGACTCAGACCCTGCATGGACAGGATGCCGCGACCAGGAGGGGTGGTGCCCTCCTCCAGCGGCCTGCAGGAGGGACAACACAACATTTATCAGAAATAAGTGTGTGTAAGAAGTAAGTAGCTACAAATTAGTTTTAGAGTCCAGACACGTCTTGGGGAAGTAAAGACAGTCCAGGGAAATAACCTGAAAATCAAAATATCATGAAAATAAATGATATATTTATGACACAAGAGCATTGATGGAAACATTTCTAGAGTCAGGAGACTGTTTAAATTATGGAGGCAGTAAAAGTTATTTTGGAAAACTGACATTTTCAAAAACGGTTACATTTGGGGCCATTTTTGAAAGACTGGACCTCTTTGGAGGCTGAAGACATTTTCATAATTCAAGCACATTAATGGAAGAAGAAGAAGTTTTAGGAAGTGCAATTTAAACGTTGCAGTACTTTAACAAAGTCAAAATACTTCAGCGACGTGAGGACAGCGACACGTCTTTTTAGAAAAGAGGAAGCAACTTCAGTGTTTTTGGAAAGTTCGGGTGTTTTTAGAAAGTGTGGACAGTTTAGGGAGGAGAGCACTTACTCTGTCCCCAGTCATTACCAGGACATTTTAAGGGTAATTAAGTTTAGGCTGAAGTGAGGATTAGAGGCTATGAACTGCTGTGTGTCAGTGAAGGTCCTCACAAATACCATATAAACATGTGTGTGAGTGAAGTTTAAAGGTTTTCCTCTAAACACAGAGCTCATAATCCCCCACACCCAGCGAGGAAAAGCTCTTTATTAGCACACACAAGCAGAGATGCAAACACTCAGCCTCAAAGTGTTTTAATCAATAAAAAAATGAAAAGCCAACATGTGAGTGGCAGCTGCTCTGACTGTAAATGTGGCGTTCAGATGTTAAACTACAGACTGGATGATTAAAGAGGTGGAAGTGTAAGTTTAATGTTTTAAAACCTATGAAACTGTAAATTTAAGGTCATAAAATAGTAAAAAAGGACAGTGGAAGGAGGTTAAAGCCATTATAAAGTAGAAATAACTCGCTAAAAGTTTGTCTTTAAATGCTAGAAAGCAAATAAATGTGTACTAATTATATCTGTGCGTCTTGTGGTGAATACAGCTGAATACAGTGTGTGTTTGTGTGTGTACCGGCGTATAGCCACAGTCAGCGCCTCGGGGGAGCTGGCACACGGGCAGATGACCTCCGGCTTCAAACCTTTCGTCTGGAAGACGTTGAGGAAGGCGTCACAAGACGAGATCGACCCTGAGAGACAATCAAACACTTAAAGGCTTTTTGCGAAAGCAGAGGCGGCTCATTGCTAGTTTTAATGATTACTTCTTCATTTCCAAGCTTTTAGAAACTAACCAATAAAATAAACCAGTCACAGATCCAAATGTAACCTTTTACGCATCTCTTGTTAACTTTTTTGAAAAGGATCTAAATAAAGAAATGTTTTTCAGGTAACTTGGATACACTGGACACTTAAACAGGGCCCTGCAGGTGTGAGTACACGAACAATCCAGCAGCAATGTTTTAGTAGGAACGCCTCTTCAGCTCATCAGTCATTTGATCTGAACCCACTAAAACATATCTGGAATAAGAGCGCTCAGAGAACACAGGGTAAGGCCTACACTAACTTTGATATTTTATGATGTTTTTCATGCTCTTTTGTTTGATATGGCTTCTAGATATTTCTTCTGAAGGTCAACTTTGACCTTGGACACTAACAGTGAAGCTCCCAACTCCTAAAAAACCAATCTTACATCACTAAACATTATCAGTATACAAATAAATGTGAGTTGGATATTTAGCAGGTAAAGGAGACACTTTAAACATATATTAAAAAGACTGTTAGCTTACAGGGATTTGAACCATCAGCCACCACAAGCATCCGCAGGGAGCTCAGATTGACATCCCGCTGATCCCGGTGGGCCACCAGAGCCCAGTGCATATCCCGCGACTTCACACAGGCCACCTTAGCTGGAAATAAAACGTCGCCGGTTCAAATTACTGCTGTTAAACGACTGAATTTGTCATTTCAAACAGAAGGAGACTCATCAGATATGTTATGTCACCTTTGTACTGGCAGACTTTTTGGATCCAGGACAGCGGGTTGACCTTCATGAGGGCGTAGGGAATACTGATGACGTGCATCATGTTCATCACACTCTGACAGACGCACACAGAGACACATTAACAGAGATGAAGATGTGCAGAGTTAAAGAAGTGAAACGGACAGAAAGCTGATTATTTTCAGCTCAGATTTACTCACATACTGTACGTGAGTACTTGACCTGAGTATTTTCTTCTCAAAGGCACGTTACACTCCACCGCAGCTCGGAAAGAAATGCTGCTTCCTTTACCGCACTGCATTAATCTGACGGCAGAGAGCCGCTGAACTGAGCGAACTGAGGCCAAAAGTCAGCGCGCTCAGGTTTGTCCTGCCTCTGGTACCCGGATGGTGTCAGATTTGGCTTCATTTTAGTCTGGCTAAGACTTCGAGGTGCACATTAAAGCCAGACTGGGTGGAGAACTGGTATTTATAACCACAGCTGGACTGAATATGTGCACGTGTGGTGGATCGAAATGGGGTAAGATGCAGAACTTCAGCACCAGGAGGCGGAGGAAAGTGTAACTGGGCAGTAAATATATACATTTAAAATTAATTCATATAACAACTGCAATAAACACTGAACTGGGAACTTTTAGTAATTTAAGTAGATTTTACAGAGCATGTCTCGCTTCATGTATGTTATATATGTTAAGTTCTGGGGCACAAACTAGCTTTTTAACTGTAATTACATTTTTTTTAAGTAAATTCATATTTGAGGCAAAGAGTTTGTTTAACAAAACTATCGTCTTGGAATTGCAGTTTCATACAAAAGTTTTCTTACTGTCTGGATGGCGTGCCACAGTCCTACATCCTTCTTGAAGTCTAGTACATTCACAATGGTCTCAGCTGAGAAACAGAAACAGAGCAAGTCAAACTTCAACATCTGAGCGTCGGAGAGAAACAGCCGACCGTAGCAGGACAGCAGCGCTGTTCAGAGGTTTAATCAACAAGAGTAAATGTGTGTACTACCTTCTGTGTATGAGCAGGACTGTGTGATGGCCTGGCAGTGCGTGAGCATCGCTATCCTCATCACCGTCACTCCGAGGACGCTGCCGTCCTTACACGTCTTATACTGGACAGACAGAAACAGAAGCAGAGTGACGAGGCGGTTTGTTCCCGCGTGCGTGACGATCGGCGATACACAAAAATTCCACGTGTGCTTCTTCCAAGCACGAACGAGAGCCAGAGTGGAAGCACCAAAAACTGCAGTTCCTCGAACGACCGCTTCCCCCACAGACTTTTCCCCCCATCTTTTATTTACAGACTGTGTTTACTTAAAGTATCTACGAGACCCAGAACATCCACGTCCACGTTTCAGTTTTTTAGTGGAGTCAAATTAGTGTCTGCAGCTCAGCCAATAAGCAATTTTTAAAAATATTGATTGCTAAATTTAAGACTTTTTTTTTTTACACTAACTTCCCAAAAACCTAAATGATGTCCGAGTGCTGTGCAGTGACAGTAATCAGTGAGAGTCTGCACAAAACAAGATCTCCTCTGTCTGAAAAGTCTGACATCAGTCGGACAAACGCACATTATTGGTCGCTTTTAAAGCTATAAATCATTTTGAGTCGTAACATTTTTCTTTTTTAATGTCACTGAAAAACTAACATTTCTTTTTAAGCCACTATAAAGTGCACCGCAGTACTTTCGCCCATCTCGACTGATTCGTGGCTTCTGTTAAAAATAAAAGGTCATTTTTCAATCGTCCGTTTTCTTCAATCATTTTCCTTTAAGCCTTTTTCAATCTGCAGAGCAATCAGGGAGACATTTCACCTGGCTGCCCGTGCAATTACTAGAGACGTTAGATTCAAATCAATCAGACAGGACGACAGGATTGAGCGGCGAAGCGTCCACAGAGCTGTGGTGAGATTCTAAGCTGGAGGACATGTAGCAGCATTGATTTCACGACTGAAACACCACGGGTGGAAATGTTTTGATGCCCTGACGAGAACATGCATCTGTGTTTCTGTCATCGTTTGAGTTACCTCGATGTAGGCAGTGTCCTGGTTGGCTTCCTTGATGTGTGGGAACCAGTCTCGGGGCGGTTTGGAGAGGTGCTTGGACTCCGTGACGAACCACATCACCTTCGGCCAGCCTGAACGCCCATGGAGACAAAACAAACATCCCTTTAACGTTCACGTGTTGCTGGTTAAAGGATTATTTTACTCCACTTAGCCTTTTCTTTTTTTTTAGAAAAACATTAACTTTATTCTATTATTTGACTATGAAAAGGAACAGAAAGCAACATGAATGCTTTTAGATTTCTGTCTTCGACAGAACTGAAACTTTGGACTTCACTGCTTTGCTGCAACAGCTGCTGACAGTGCAACAAGGTTTTATTTACACGAAGACAACAAGTATAAAAATGCAGACAAATTATCCATCGATCTTCCTCTGGGGGCGGGTCACAGGGGCAGCAGCCTAAGCAGAGAAGCCCAGACCTCACTCTCCCTGGCCACCTCCTCCAGCTTGTCCAGGGGAACACCGCCAAGGCGTTCCCAGGCCAGCCGAGAGATATAATCCCTCCAGCGTGTCCTGGGTCTGCTCCAAGGCCTCCTCCAGTGGGACATACCCGGAACACCTCACCCAGGAAGCGCCCAGGAGGCATCCTTGTCAGATGCCCGAACCACGTCAACTCTTCCATGAATCACTACCTTATCATGGTGGAGGGGTAGGCCCATGTCCTGCAGCAGGTGCCGTAGGGGTCGGGCAATGTGTCCAGGAGCGGAGGCCCTGGTGGACCAAACCCCAACTACCAAACAGACAGATTAGTATTCTGGTAGTGTTCTGGTTATATCTCTATATAATAACAGTAAGTTACTGAGTTGTCATTGTGCAGTTAAATCGTCGTCACTTTGAGAATTTAATGGAAAAATGTATAAATGTATGAGGTACAAGCAGTTCATGTGAACTTAATGAGAACTAACAGCAGAATGATTCCATCTTATTGCTAATTTATCACCATCTCGATGCACCAAAGTCGATTTGAAGACGGCAGCTGACTGTGATTGGTCGCAGTCCACTCTGTGGTCTCCAGTCACTACTGTGTTACTGTAGCATAAGCTAACGTGGCTAACGTCAACACCGCACAAACCAATATGTGACCTCCACCCACACATGTATGTAGTGAGTTACAGTGTGGGCTGCAAACTGAGCCTTATTCATTGAGTCATGGAAAACTGAGAATGCTGAATAATAACTTGGAACAACTGACAACCATCACAGAGTTTGTTTGAGACTGAAGTCATAAAACAAGCAAACAAACAAAAAGTTTCTCAGTTCACGTCTCATTACTCTGCTGCACCTCATCTCTTAATTGTCTTTGCAGATGCTTTAATTCAAAGAGACATAAACTCAAAGTCAGTGTGTGATTCATTCTGGCATCCTGGATGAGACGCAGATCAAATTACCAACCTTTAACGCTGAGTCGCAATCGCACCCGTTTGTGAATATAAGCAAAACAATAACGTGTGAAAACTGTGCTGCGAGAGCGACTGGCGCCCTCACAAAGACAAATTATTATTATTATGAGGATGTTTTTCTCCGTGCTGAGCTGTTGCACGGATGAAAACGAGTGAATGCAGATTGCAGAGTACATGAAGGCTGTTAATGCCTGAATTTACTGCTGCTGATTCTGCAGGGGAGCGAGACAGAAGAAACAATCAGAACGAGATGAGCTTATAGCCTGCTGATCAATAAGGGGAGCACTCCACTTTAATGACACGCACACACTAAATCCAGGCTGAATAAGGAGCAATAAAATCTGCTAGCATGATGTTGCTATTTATACATCCATTACTGCAAAGCAAACAGTGGTTATTAATCAGCAGGAGATTCTCTCTTTTCGTTCACCGCTAACGTCTCTTTTTCCTCCATCTATCACATGACTTGCATCCATTTTTCTCTTCCCTCAGTCGTGTCAGTTATTTTGCTATCGACTTGCATTACCACTTCTCTGACTCTCTCTCTCCGTCTCCTTGTCATCCATTACTCAAACCCAGCCGTCTGCAGTCATCAGTCTGTCCATTTATCCAACTGAACAGCGGGACCACGCTCCGAACTCTGAACCACGTGTTTGTCTGCAGTCTCGTTCAGCCAGTTTGAAAGTTTTAAACGCCGCATTGTCAGGACATCATGTTCAGTCCTGATAATTGCAAGAGTCTGGTGGTGGATTAAGATTCGAATTTGTGATTTAAATAAAGGTTATGGTTATTTTTTGTGGATTTGCGGCTCAAGAAATGGAAAGAGCTGAGAGGGAATTTTGTGATTGCTCACAGAGAGTTTGCTCGGCTCGTCTGTTTGCCAGTGAGATTATACTAAAAATCACTGAGGATCATTTCATAAATCTAGTGGAGATTTGGAGCAAAGCAACAAAACATGGACCACTTTCTTTAAAACTGCAAAAAGGAGCACCAGCTTTGGCAGAGGATGCACTTTGACCTTCACGATGTGCTTTGTTTGAATGGATTATCCCACCTCCCTGCAGGGGTGTCAAACTCAATTTCACGGAGAGCCACAATGAAAAATGACAATCACATCCAGACCCAAACACATCTGGATTTAATTCATTTACATGTCACACACAGCAGAAATCAGATCAAACAGTTAACAGAAAAAGTGCTTTACCAGTGAAACCCTTACACGGCCTCATGTTTGCCTTAAATCAGGGATGTCAAACCAGTTGCCCACTTTGGCCTCAAGTGGGTCAATCTGTAAAGACATTTACTTACACATCGAATCCTTCAGCTATCTTCATATATATAAAGCAAAGTGTCGTCTTAATACTATGTCTCAGTTGTTTTCTCGACGATAAAGAAATAGTGATGTAGTAAAGAAAAAAATCTGTCAGGACGACTCTTTGGGTTTAAGCTTTAAGAGATAAATGTGTGAAATTACACATTAATTAACAATTAATTGTTTATCTATTATTTAATTACTTTAGTCCATGGCCATGAGGGAGGATTTTATTAGTAAGAAAAGCTGTAAAAATACAGAGAAGTTGGATTGAATTCGTTGGAGGGCCAACTCTGGTCCCCGGGCCTTCTGTTTGACACCACTGCCTAACAACTTTAGGTTGTCCCGATGTCTTTTTTAAATTATTTGAATACAGTTGCTTTCTAAATGGATTCTTTAAAATAATGACGCGTTTGAAAAACTCAAATTTGAGCAGAACTTGTCCTAAAAAGCAGGTTAAAGATTTTTAATGGTTTCGGTTAAAAGTTGCAGTTTTTCTGCATATTTCTAAAGACGGACGCTGATTTTATTTCTAAACCACAATCCCCACTGCAGTCTAGATTTATTCAACACTGGTGTTTGTATGAGGATTAAAGATGCATGTATGGATGTTTTTACGAATAAATTTCATGTGCCTCTGACCTTTAAACTGTGGGATCTCTCCAGTGGGACTCTTGGGTAACCCTTTATGGCAGGCGTCACTGGTCAGAGCTACAGTCACTCCACAGCTCCCCAACAGAAACCCAATCTGCTGACTGCCGGCGTCCTGCAGAGAGACAAAGACCATTGATCTGTGAGTCATCAGCAGGATTGGAATCAATGTGTAAGTGCTTTGTGGTCATCATCAGCTTCTCTGTTCTATAAGAGTCATGAAAGGGGAAATCTACAGTGCTGATTATGTGAAATTGTCAGGTTCGCTGGTTCAACTGTGATATTACAAACTAATTTCTACATATAAGAAATTATTCCTGAAACTCCCAAGAATGATTTCTTTTATCTTCCCCTAAAGCTCACTGCTTCCTCTGCTTGAAATCAAGCTGATTTTAACGACTCTGAGGCAGTTACATCAGTCTGCAAATGTTACGTCTGCTCTTTGCCTTCTCTGTTAGACACAATATTCATACCTTTATCTGAGATATAGCCTCAAAGTATTTATTGTTTAATGTTTCTTACTCTTTATCCTAATTGCACAGGATAAAGAGTAAGCATTTCTGTGCATCCTGCTCTGTGGTGTGTGTATAAGGTGCATCTATCATGATGCAACCAATGCCGATTAAGCTGCTGCCTAAGTTGGTCAAAGCGCAAAGATCTCAGATCTCGGGAGTCCTCTCTTCCTGGTTAAGCACTGAATAGCAAACTTTAAAATGCTAATTAGTAAGTGTAGGTGTTGCCACAGTGAGATAAACAGCTCTCGCTGGGTGCAATAGAAACATTGCTAATGAAATAAAACAGCAACAGTCAACGTGAGAAGATGGAAAACCGTGTGGGAAAACACGATGGAAACATGGCGTTTCTGTCGGTTCCTGCTGCTGTTTCCTCGTTGCTCACTGCAGATTCGATGCACATCATAATTTACCTGCTTCTCTGTAAACAATCAGCCTGACAGGAAGGTGTAGTGAAGTGATCACTAGGCTGATCATCAGAAATCCACACTGACTACGAGACTCACACCAGCCCTCCTGGTTCCTCCCAGAGGATATTACAATGCGGAGCTACGCTCAGTCCAAACGATGACTCAAACAAATGTACGGCAGCAGCAGCGCAGTCGCTTCTTCAGAGACATTTGGCTCTCATTACACCTCAGCTCAAAGCTCAGCGGCCTCTGTGTTGAATCACAAAGTGCCTTCCAATGACTCATGTTTTCAGTGCTATCCCCCCCAGTGTTGCATTAGCTCCACTGACTGGTGTGAATTAGCTCTGCACTGCATGACTCTGCTGCACGTCCTCTGTTCAACCTGCTCATGCAGTTTCACTTCAGAAAATAAGACGACATTTAAATAGAAATGTTATCAAATTGTTCTTCCAACAATAGAAACTCCTCATTGTCAAACTTTAATGACCAATCCCCTCCTCATGATATAAAGCAGAGCATGTCTGCTGTGTGAATTATTCTTGTTGTCTTGGGTATTTGGTAATCTAAGAGATTCGAGGTAGCTGATAACTGAGCACTGCAGACTGGTAATCCAGTTACCTGCAGTTCAGCTCGGCATGGATCCTTTTCTTGTTGAGTAGCAGCCAAGACATTGAGCTTTGTTGTGGCCTTTATATGCAAACATCCTGTGCCTGAAGACAGTGCACCAGCACCACCGATGCAGTGAAAGTACAGCAAAAAACAAATGGTGTGCGTCACATTTCCTACTTGATGAACTGCTAAAGCTAAGAAGATTTTATTAGAACAAGTCAATCCCTTTTGCTGTTTGAAATCAATGCATGCAGTAACCTGGACTCTCACACCAGCTATGAAGCAATGAAGAAATCCAAAACCTCCTGTCAGGATCGACTTGAACTTGAGCAAAACATGTGGAGGGGGTGGTTATCCAACCTTCAACCCCATGATTAGTTTACAGCCTGTTGAGGAGACGTGACACTCAAAGGTCCACGAACGCTCCCTGAATTCTGAACTAGATCCCCGAACGTGACGCCATTAATCATCGAGGAAGCCTGTAGTCACGGTGGCCCGTTAACACTGCTATCGGCCACACAAACATTGGAAATCACATCGCACCTTTTCAACAATCCCCGTCTGAACAGAAAATACTGCCAAAAAACCCCGACTACATCAATGATCTGACCTTTAAACAGCTTTGCAGTCTTCAGAACCGTCCATACTAAGAAAAATTGAGGACTGCACTATTAAATAAAACAAGCATGGGTGCAAAAAATAATGAAAGTTACTGTTTTATTAAGGATACTGCTTCCATTTCTTTTTAATAAACAGTTTATATCCAGTTTTATGTAAATTAGTATTAAGGTTTCTTCTACTTGTATTAAACTGCAGTTTGCTGGCTGGTGTTTTGCCTTTTTTTAATATTACAAAATACTTTTCACCATATAGTAATATTTAACGTCCACATATTTTTCACTATTCCTTAAATTTTAATTAGATGGTCTTCCTCTTACCTTCCTGGTCAGCGGTACTTCTATTGGCACAGGAACCACCTCAGCCAGCAGGCAGCCATAGAAGGCTGTCATGAAGGAGGCGGGGTCATTGTTAGGGAAAACTAGCGCCACCTACAGGCAGAATGAGACATAATACATGTGTTACAGATTAAAACGGGAAGAAATCTTTGGAAATTTCAGGATGGACGGAAAGTTATGATGTTGCCTTGATGGTTGAGGCAATAAACAAAAAATATTTGGTTATTCAAACCAAACCAGGAGTTACATTTAAACCAATCATAGCCTGAAACATCACATCTGAAAGGATTTCAGAGGTTTTTGTTTTACTTAAGAGAGAGCGCGAGACAGAGCAGACAAGGCAGCAACGAAGTCAGGAAAGGAGCATGTTTTGTGTCTGTGATGCTGGATGCTGATGGCTGATAGGAGCTGCCGCCAGAGAACCAGAGAAGAACAAAGCTGAATCATTTAGGGGGCATCTGGTCAACATCCCTCCCTCTTTCACTTCCTCTATTCCTCTCCTTCTGCTTTCTTTGTTCTGTTTAATACCTCTTCTACTTTCAAATATCTTTTACTTCACATTCTCCTGCTCACAGTCCTTCCTCTCATTCCAGTCGTCTGTCTTCAAACCTTCTGTTAGCACATTGAGGTTCAACTTAAACCTCTGAACTACTGGTTGCCGTTTTAAACAGCTCTTGTTAAAAACACACAGAATACACTAAAACTCAATGCTAAAATTTTAATTTCTTTCAGTAAACAAGCTGCACCTAAAGAAATTGCGCTAACGTAAATTTGGACAGTTTCTCCTTTAATGCCATCACCTTGTGTCTTTCACTTCCTCGCAACTTTCTGACTGTGTTTCATAAGTTTGGTGACGTACAGTATTTACAGTACTAGTGCAAAGACACAAACTTCTCTCCACTATCGTGTCCACAGAGTATGAACCCATCAACCCGCTTTCTACGTCACAGCTAGGCTGTTATCTCGCGCTCTAGCATTTTGGTCCAGTTCAGCTCCAGTTGCATGCTGTGATGATAATGGTGGACCCCTGCTTAAGTTCTTAATAGCTTCCATATACAGTACAGTACACCACAAGAGTGGATGTGAGTGTGTTAATGTGTGTGTGTGTGTGTGTGGCAGAGAGTTGGCGGTATAAGCTAAGTGCACCTGAATGAATGAGAGTGGTGTAATGATGCTTTAACAGGGCTATTGTTGACATGTGCACGCCTCATTGAAGCGGGTCAGGTTTCATTTGTAAACGACAGCCGAGAGATTCACGTTTTCTGCTTGTAAAGGCTGCAGAGTGCATGTCAGGAAACACTGCACGTACGTGAGCTGCCCACATCGCATATCTCAGTGTGACTTTCGTCCCGTCTCCCTCTCCCACAGCAGATGCCGCCCCTCCCCGAGCCTGGCTCAGAGTTTTTCTTACCCACTTCCGTCAAATGCGTTTCTCTCTTTTGTTGTTAACCTTACAATTTAAAGAGTCTCGTTATTGTGATTCGGTGCTATATAAATAAAACTGAATTGAACTGAACTGCCATACATTCATGGAAATTCTTGATGCAAAACATGCAGAGCTATTCATTGCTTCATGAAAAGTCAGAAAGCTGGGCTAGAAGACTAGAAGGTACTGAATGAATAAAGAGGAATATCTGTCTGAAAATAGAAAAATGATCTCGGTGGGAGAACAATGTCAGAACTGTAAAGATGTGCTGTTGCACCAGCTTTCTTTGGTACCAAGTAAATGCTAAATTATTCCAACTTACATCTGATCCTCGTTAAGCATTCTTTCTGCAGTGAGGAAACCCGATCTCAACAAGACTTGCATAACAGCGATGACACAAAAAGAACGGCTCTAATGCAACACACTAGGCCATTAACTAGTTACATGTTGCAGCGTTGTGTTCTGTAGTGGTAATGGACATCACAGCTACAATGATGTTAATACAAGCATGGGTCCTTCAATTATCTGCACAATGAAAGCTTAGAAGAAGAAAAACACTTCCTGTGCACTTGTATACAATCAGGAATGAAATATGATACTTTTGTTATTATTGCACAGAAGGACAAAAGTGTGATGGTGAAGTTCAAACTGCATGAAATAACTGCATTATACTGCAAATACAAGTATCTGCACAGACAGCATGCTAACACAAAGCTAGTGAATAACCCAGAGCGGTGTTAAAGACGAGTGTACGCTGACCCCCAGCCCAGCAGCCAGAGCCTGGACTTCAATAAGTAAATACCTTTACCTGTTTCTACAGCACAATCACAGTGGAGATGGCTTTGAACCTCAAACTTAAACACCAGAAGAAATATCATATGCATGTTTTGATTTGGAGGGTATGCATGTGACAAACATAGGGAAAAAAGAGAAATTCGGTGCAAATCTCAGACAATCCATCCATCCGTACTGGACAGGTACTCCTGAGTGCACCGTGCATTATGGGATTAACACTTCTCAGTTGAAAGTTCTTTATTGTCATTCATCATAAGGACAAATGACAGAACGAGATGACATTATTCAGGTCTCGGTGCTGGTAAGGATTAAAATATAGAAAGCTCTCATTAAAAAGTAATTTAAAAGTAAAGATCTAAGTGAATGTAATAATAAAAAAATAAAAGAAATTGAATTTAACGAACTTGATGATTGTGTGGTGCTCAGAGCCTCTGGGAAATGTTTTTTACTCCTTTCTCATTTTAGTTTTTTCACCTCTGTAATGACTCCCCCCGTGTCACATGACACCACAGCTTTTTAAAAAACTCATTTTGTATGAAAATTAATGCCATTTGATGCTTTTTGCCAGAGTTGGAGTCCGTTTGGATCTGCAGTCCCCTGCAATAATGATGTCATATTGAAAAAGTAATTCAAAAACAAAACTTGGCACAAGAGGACTTGTTAAAGAGAAACCACATCCACAGTTTTATCTGATTCTTCAGCAGCATCATTCCCTGAAACCTTACTGAACTTGTTTCTCTGCACAGAAACACAAAACCTCTAACGTAATTTCATAAAGTAACAACTCCTTTATTGTTGCTCGCGTGTAATTAAATCTCATCGGCTTTCTAAACATTCTCCTGTTGAAACCTATTTGTTTAATCGTTCTGCAAAGCACTCTGCTCAGGTGAGATACTGAAAATATGCAGTGTAATTTCTCTAAAAGCTCCAGCAAAAATGTCTTCTAAACAAATTACAGGGGAAAGAATTTGCAATGTAATTAAACACACAGCCTTCTGGCTGAAAACGTCACACGCTGGCATGGAGCCAGTCTTGACTCAGTCTCCCACTGAGCTGGAAATTAAGCTTAAAATAAAGAAGAACGAGGGGCAAGAAGTATGGGTGTCACGTGGAAGCAGAAACATGTGGGAGCATTACTGAACCTTTTTCCACTTAAGCATGATTTCATGTGTGGAGGCATGTGGAGTGTTGGGTAATAGGGGGCTCTGAGCATAATGTGATGATTAGCATGGAACAGAAGAAAGGAAGCACAATGCAAGAGTCCATGTTTAAAGTATTAAGTAACCTCCATGTGGCGGATTTTGCATAAATCCTGAGAGGTGACGTCAACAAACTCTCTCGCTGCTTTTTGATTTACAAATACCAAAAGAAAAAAAGCGGGAAGAGGCTGATGTTTGTGAGTCCAGCTCTTTATACAGGACGCTTCATAATAGCTCACTGGAATAACTTCTTACAAATATTATGCTGTAGCATTTTTCTTGTTATAGAGTATTAAAGTGAAGCTGTAGAACGAGAGAGGAGAGAGGGGAGAGGAGAGACGAGAGGAGAGAGGAGAGAGGAGAGGAGAGGAGAGAGGCGAGGAGAGAGGAGAGGAGAGGAGAGGAGAGGAGAGGAGAGAGGAGAGGAGAGATGAGAGGAGAGAGGAGAGAGGGGAGAGGCGAGAGACGAGAGGAGAGAGGAGAGAGGGGAGAGGCGAGAGACGAGAGGAGAGAGGCGAGAAACGAGAGGAGAGAGGCGAGGAGAGAGGCGAGGAGAGAGGAGAGAGGAGAGGAGAGATGAGAGGAGAGAGGAGAGAGGCGAGAGACGAGAGGAGAGAGGAGAGAGGGGAGAGGCGAGAGACGAGAGGAGAGAGGCGAGGAGAGAGGCGAGGAGAGAGGAGAGAGGAGAGGAGAGGAGAGAGGAGAGACGAGAGGAGAGAGGAGAGAGGGGAGAGACGAGAGGAGAGAGGAGAGGAGAGAGGAGAGAGGCGAGAGGCGAGAGGAGAGGAGAGAGGAGAGAGGAGAGGAGAGAGGGAGAGAGAGAGAGGAGAGGAGAGGAGAGAGAGAGGAGAGAGGAGAGAGGAGAGAGGGGAGAGGCGAGAGGAAGAGGCGAGGAGAGAGGAGGAGGGGAGGAGAGACGAGAGAGAGGAGAGAGGAGAGAGGCAGAGAGACGAGAGGAGAGGAGAGACGAGGAGAGGGAGAGAGGGAGAGGAGAGAGGAGAGAGAGAGAGAGAGGAGAGAGGGAGAGGAGAGACGAGAGAGAGAGGAGAGAGGAGAGGAGAGAGAGAGAGAGAGAGAGAGAGAGAGAGAGACGAGGAGAGAGAGAGGAGACGGAGAGAGGAGAGAGCGAGACGAGAGGAGAGAGGGAGACAAGAGAGAGGGAGAGAGGAGAGAGGAGAGAGAGGCGAGAGAGACGAGGAGAGACGAGAGGAGAGAGGAGAGGAGAGGAGAGAGGAGAGAGGAGAGAGGCGAGAGGCGAGGAGAGACGAGAGGAGAGGAGAGAGGCGAGACGAGAGGAGAGAGGCGAGACGAGAGGAGAGAGGAGAGGAGAGGAGAGGAGAGGCGAGAGACGAGAGGAGAGAGGGGAGGACACGTACCAAAGGTTCTGGGTGGAAAAAAACTAAATTGACACATTTCTTTGATGGTGGAAAAAAAGGAATTGCTTCAGGAAACCGCTCTGACAGCTTCCTTGTTGATGAAAAGTGTCAGACGCAGGAAAAATGTGTCACTTGTTACTGAGAGGTCTGAACAAAACAGAAGGTTGAAAAGGAAAAATGTAATGAAACGGTAAACCAGTCTGACTGCCCGGTGATAGCAATGAAAATCAATTATAATTACTATCCAGGAACACAGCGACCTTCAGCACCGTTATCTGTCTGAAAGGATTAAAAAAGAGAAAACCTGCAGTGAAACGTTAGACATAGAAACGTATGGTCACACTTCTTTTGGTGCTAACTTTACTGCATATGAATTTCACTTAAAGTTCCAATATTTTAAAAAGAGTGCATTGAAATGAATCATACAGCAACTATTTCTAAAGTTTACAGCAGTCAATTAGTAGCCAATTGCAACAATACTTAACCGAATGACAAACGCAGTCTTAACACGCTTTGCAAAATATTTTGTTAGAAGAAGAACACAGAGTTGTTTTCTAACCACGAGCTGTTTTCACTCACAGACAACATGAACTAGAAAAAATGTGTCTGCTGTCGCTACAACAACCTTCATTTACTGGCCCGATGTTCTTTCTGCGTGAAGTAAAGCAGCATATTATCAACTTTAACACTTCGGCGAGCCTCATGATGCACAGTTTTTATGTTTCAGTACCATGGACAGTGACAGGCTCTCCGCTCAATCCTTTCAGTTTTTAAAAAAAACAAATAAGCAAGAAATATAAACGAAAACAAAAACACCCTCCGGAGCTGAAAACTGAAGCCAATGTGGGAGCTGCAAACAGTGCAGTTCCTGCATGAGGCCCTTGTGCACACGCTTACTGACACTACATGGGAGTGTCTCAAACATACTGGATTACATAACCTGCTCTAAACTCATAACAATTTAAAAAAAATAACACAGAAACCAAACAAAGCGAGCTAAAATAAACTAAAACAACTCCCACGTCAAGAACTGAGGTCTGACGGTTGACTGGGTGTCTCATAAAGCCACATCTGATGACCCTCCAACGCATTATTGGAAAGAACTGCTTGTTTCTGTGTTAGCAGATCACTTGCAGATCCTTTTCCCTTTTCCCCCCCCAATTGTGGCCTCGCACTCATTTCCCCCCCTTGGAAAATCTTCCCCTTTGTTCTCTCTGCGGCTCTCTCCATCTCAGCCCATCATGAATGCTTTTGCCTCACTCACCCGGTCTCCAGGTCTCACGAGCGGTTCTTGTTTGGTTCCCAGTTTGTGCAGCAGATTGTACGCCACCTTCACACTTCTGGACCACAGTTTACCTGCAAAAACATTTAAACGGTGACGTCACACAATAGCTCGTGCAGACAGATAAAAGGTGAAGCACGTCTTTGAGAAACGGTTTGAAGTGACCGATAACAAGTTCAAGATGTTGTTGATGAAATACGTCCTCTAGAGATCAAGAGGTGGACTGTCAGGAAGCCTTTCTGTACCCAATAAAAGCATGAAAGAAACATCTCTGTGGGAACAGAGGATGACAACATGAGCCCCCATATGTAACAAATTACAGCACTGATATGACACGTGATTTTTAAAATACTTTGAAGTTTGACGGTACACCTTGTGGGCGGACTGCTATGAAGGTAATCGTATAGATTTCATAACATCCAATAAATCAAATGCTCCTCGTGACTTTGGTGTAATTGGATCCATGCAGGCTGATACTTTGCAGTTATGGTCAAAGCCTCGGGACATTAAAGGAAGTCATATAGGCTGCATTAGGATGACACTAAACAGACAAAGAGATTCAATGTCTAGATAAGTGCAGCTGTTACTTTAAACTTTAGGTAGCACAAACCAAGCGCTTACAAAGCAGTTTAAAAATACTTTCTTCTTACAGAAGGTGTCTGTCAAAGGAACTTTCAATCTCCCTGTAAATATAAAGTTATTAAATATTATCTGATCTTTCTGATCGGTTTCATTTTCCCTGGCAGACGGACCCCGCTCTGTTCATTAATGCAGTAACTCACAACAATGGAATCAATTTCCTTCCTATTTCTTCCCCCCCCCCCTAATTCAGACTGGCAGATGCAGATATTATGCATGGGCGATCCAGCATGAATTCTTTCTTGTTTTTTTTTATGCTAAATGAGTTTTTTTCCTGGTGTTTGTCTGAACTAATGAAATGAAGAAAAGCTTAAGGATCCCAGGAGGAAAACAGACAGTTTGGACCACAAAAAGCAAAGTTAACTGCAGACAAACACCAGCTACAAACATCATTTCTTAAAAGCAAAGCACCCTACGTCCCGTTGTTTACAGGTGATGTCAGGAAAGCTTGTTGGAGAAAATTATAAACGAACTTATCTACTGGTGGACCTGTGGACTTTTAGTTCCTCTGACTGCCTCTTATTGATTTTGGAATAAACTAAGGATCTGAACCAATTCCCAGTATGAGATAAACATAATGATGAATATAATGATTCTGGACTGTGAAGAATGCACAGCTTCTCTCTGCTCTAGTAGAGAGAGGCTGTGCATTTTTGGACTGGAGTCCAAAAATAAGAAAGCTGAAACTCAGCATGGAAGTTATGAAATTTATCATTGATTTTTTTTTTTTAAATTAAGAAAACTTTAAAGTACTTTTGTTTTGTTTTGTTTTTTTATTCTAGAAAGACAAAGATAATGCAGCAAGCTCGAGGGTTTAAAAATGAAGCCAACGTGGGCGTGCAAAAAGATAAAAAATAAAAAGATGTAGTTCCTCTAATGACCACTTGAGGCTTTTTGTACAAGAGTCCCCATAGACTTCCTGTTAAAATGCCCATCCTTACAGCATAAATAAACATGACTGCAGGTTGTGTGGTGAATTATAACTCACCAATTTAAATGTTATTAAAATAAGATTGCTATTGTTAGCTCATAACACCCTCATCATAATATGATCCCTTCTATACTTTGAAAAAACAAACTTGAAGGAGGCCAAACTGCTAACTTTGGGACTTCAAATCGGTCCAGAAGCGAATGTATGATGTCATGATGGTTACGTCCCTTTTTTATATACAGTCTGTGGAGAAAACATTATTATTATTCAGCTAAAGAGTTCAAAGTTCCATATTTGCTCCATGAGATTGTTAAACATAATGTTTACTACCCGTAGCGCTGCCTCTAAGTAAAGGATTAAGTGGAGACATAAGAAAAGATGATGAGCTAACATCTGCAGACAGAACTCTGGTGCTTAAACAGGATTTGTATTTCTTGCAGAGAACACTCCAAACAAAAGCAGATGGACAGAAGGGTAATCAAAGGAAGACATCAAAGCGAGAGCATCCCAAACACAGAGAAATAAAAAGTTTACGCTTCCTCTGCACGCTGAACACAAATCCGTGCAGATTTATCGATAATGTGATTTGTTGGAGAATAACACCACAGGATCAAAGCGTGCCGAGAAACTTCTCGTCTATGGAAATAGAAATATGTCTGTCTCACGCCTCTTACGTGGGGTTATCTGCAGTGCAGAGCGGTGAGGGTTGAGTTTAAGGACAGCCGGAGAATTCTGTATCATGAATTCTCTCTGTTCTCCAGAGGCGGAGGACGACTCGAAAGGAAGATACAAAACAAGTTTGTCTTTGTTGGCCGACATCAAAGGGAAGACACGACAGGAATGAAAGATGCGGCAGACATGGAAAGAGAATGGCTGAACTTTAGATTCAGCACTGCACTGCACACACGCACACATAATCTCACCGTGTTTTTGTCTCTGGTGGCGGTCTCCGAGCGCTGGCTGAAGACATTTCACAGTCTGGTGAGCGCTCATATCGCCTCATCATCGGCAGCGAGCTCGCTCCCCACGAATCAGTTAGTTCAGTCACACACGCAAATAAACACACAAACACACACACACACATCCAGTGCCAATTTGAAGCACCTGCAGTAAAGTTGCCGCCTATTCATGTTAATCCTGCGTGAACTCATGCGTGCGACAAAGGTGCTCGAGCGCCATCAACATCAGCAGAGATAAGAAATGACACTTAGGCGTACTTCAACTTCACCTGAGAATCTTTAGATACCGTCATCATTTTGAATCAGAACACAACGAGGCCTCTTACTGAGAAACACTGGACTGGCCACTTGTTCTCATATGACCCATTTAAGGAGTGTTGCCATTTAAAAAAGAAATAGGTGTCAGGTGATGGGCTGGGTGGACAAATACATACACTAGTGTTGTGCATATTATATTGACCCGATTCCAAGTGAAGATTGATATAAAAAATAATGGCACGGCCAGGAGTACCCCTCAGCCTCCTAACAGATTCGTTACATTCACAAGATTTTCAGAAAACTTGACCTCTGACCTTGAACTTGAGATTGAGGTCACATACTAGTGCAGGGGTGTCAAACTCCAGTCCTCGAGGGCCGGTGTCCTGAAACATTTAAATGTGTCCCTGCTGCAACACACCTGAATAAAATTAGTAGGTCATTGGCAAAACTCTATAGAACTTGACTGCATGCTGGAGTGGTAACCCCTAACCCTACTCAAGTAAATGTGTGTGGAAAAATGTAGTTCTAAAAGTACTTTTATTGCATCATGTTAACTCATAAGCTGCTGTAACACAAATCAAATGGCTGAATTGCCACGTCGTGTTGCAGCAGGGACACGTAAAAGTTTCAGGACACCGGCCCTCAAGGACTGGAGTTTGACACCCGTGTACGGGGTGTCCGCGTCGCCTGCCTGTCTACCTGCCCGGCATGGTGACAACAACACCCCATCAACCTTTTACAGCTGAGGGGGTAAAACAAGCTTATGTAGGGCAGAGCAGTGTGTGTTGATTTATGAGATGAATCACCATTTTGAAGCACCTGCTTTTAATGACCACTTAATCATTGTGATTTACTGAGATTACTATGATTATTTTCCACAACAACTTTTTAGCGTTTTGTCTATTTTGGAGACTTTTTTTTTCCTCTAAAGCCCTTCGGTTCAAATTCTGTTTTTTTTTAATTTGTGCCACAGGATATAAACAAAAGACATGACGGTTCAGATATTTTTCATAGTTGATGGCTGGATTTTCTTTCCCGTTTCCATAAAAAGAATTTATTTAACACAATTCAGTGGACTGCATACTGAACAGAAACAATGTATCAATCCGATCGCGCTAGTATCGGTCCAATACCAGCGTTGGTATCAATGCTATCGGTGTTTGGATATATCCACCTCTAACACAAACACCCAACTGAAATTTAGTAAAGCCTGAAGGCTCAGTAAAGATTATGGACAAAATTATACTAGCATGCTTTAGTTTACTCATTATTGTAATATACTGACTATTTTAGACTTAGAGACGGAGGTTTTTACTTGTTATGAAACCTCTTCGTTGTCACTGGGGGGGCACGCTGCAGCTTTAAGTAAAAGATCTGAGAGCTTCTTCCAGTTCATTTGGGTGCATGCCTGTGTGATGCTGGGTATGCGTGGTGTGATGTGTCTGGAGTCCTCTCAGTGTAATTTCATTCTCTCCTCTGTACAGCTGGGAGGTTTGACTCTAAATTCATGAGGACCCTGAGAGAAGCAGCTCTGTTCACGGCAGCTAAATTTCTTCATACCCTCCAGACCTGAAGTCGTTTTCTCTGCTGCTGTTTGGGAGATGAATAACTCGGTCGCCTTCAAGCGAAGAACAAGAGAACTTGTTCCAATTTGGGTGTAGATTTAAACTGTGGCATTGAGCCGGGGGACGACGTGATGGGATTCAGCTGCAGCGAATGTGTTTAGGGAGCTGAGACGATGGCAGCGCTGGGGGCCAGAAGGCTGTTACATGTTTGGTATCGGGTTATGTTACTGTTTACTTTGCAACATGTTCTCATTTATGGCTGCTAAAGACTTGCTTTAGTTAATGTTTACGTTATGCTGACCGATTCGAGGCTAAATAGGATTTGTATTTCTGCAGGATGCACTGTGGTCTAGCACTGCTTGCTTCTGCAAAAGCAAAGATCGGTGTCCATAACCATTAATGTTTGAAACAGAGCACCAAAGTCAGCCGAGTCCGTGTAAAGAAACTAATACTAGAGGGCACAGAAGGAAGGTTTTCATATTTTTTCAAGAAGCTGTGCTGAAAGTCGCACAGGAAACAATTCATCTTAAAACATTTTCTCAAAGTTTGAACCTTCAGGATAAAAAAACTTTTCCACCCTCTATAGCAGAGCAGTTTTCTTTTCAGGCATCTTTCTTCACACTTGCTAATGTGCTTAGCACCCTGTCTGGCTGCCATTAGGGGAATTATGCTCACACAGCGGGTGTTAAACATTGTTTGGTGCTACACTTAATCAGCTTGGAAAAGCCACCATATGTGCCGAAAACAAGATGCAGTTCAAAGAAAAAGAAAAACCCTCTTTTATGCACATATTACAAACATTTTTTGTTCTCTTTCATCGTGTGTTATGACAGTATTTTGAAGACTGGTTGCTAGGACGATTTATTTGTGGTCATGTGAGGCGTCCGATGTTCATTTTGGATTTTCGTCTTCACGCAAAAATATTTCAACCCTTTTTCCTTCAGCTCAGATCCAAAGATTTGACCTTTGGGACGACATGCCGCGATGCAGGATTTCCAAGACTTACCATATGTGAGGACGTAGAGCGGCTTGCCGTTAGTATCCATGGTAGTGAGACACGGGGCCTTCGGAGAGATGGTGCCCCACCTCTGAAGGGCTGCCTCCAGAGAAGGGGGCCAGTTGGTCACCACACCCAGCTGCTCACCCCGCATGGGTACCATCTGTGCCCCTTCAGCCTTGGGCTGGTTAGGGTCTGGCTGCTGGACTGCAAGTGGGCACGAGAAAACAGAAGAAGAAAATAATTTTTAGTCATTTTTACTTATAATATGTATAAGACTGATTTAACAAGCACCAAAAATACTCACTAAAATATCTTTTAAATGTTTGTTTAAATTACAGTGACCAGTTATTTTAGGAAATAAGGTGGAGAAAATATGGTCACAAATGCATTCTGCAGCATGGTAACAAGGCCAGACATACACCCAGTGCCACAGGAGGAAAAAATGGAAGACCTGCTACAGATGGTCAACATCGTGAGGTCAGTCTGGATTTACAGGAAGAGACTGAATCTAGGAACTTTCCTAAGAGGAACGTTCCTGCCCACTACTGTAAAACGTTTTAAAGGCAAACGGTGGTCACGTCAACCACGTCCAAAATATTCACCCGACCATCAAACCACCACAAATGAACTATTTTCTCACATTTAAGTCAAGTTTCCTAAAATAATCAGTCCAGCTGTTCAGGTCACAGTGAAATTAATACATTTATGTTTCTTGGTTCTTTACGATCTGCAACTTTTATTGCAGATTACAGGACATCAAATATCTTTAACTTTGCTTTTATGCTTTTTTAAAAGATTGAAAAGACATAATGTCAACCAGCGACCTTTTATGAACAATATGACAAAGCTGATATTAAATTAACCTGTATAAATCAATAGAATATCATAATACAGAATTGTTTATTCTTATGAGTTCACTGTATTATACAGCCATGTAGAAATGTGCGTGTTAGGAATAATGAAACATTTACTGCGTGTCACCACTGCTGTAAGACAGAAAGTTCACAGGAAAGAGCTTTTAATCAAGCAAAACACCCTGCTAATGAATTTCAACGACATACTGAACCAAACCGAGTCTTTCCAACATTTGCTATTCATGCTTAAATTATGAATTAACTTCTGGCTCTGCAGCGTTTGATGCTGAAAACAGAAGGAAATATTCATCAGTTAGACTCTGCTTTGTCAGAGGAGACTTTAGGGAATGAGGTTTAGTCATTTGTCTGCATAGATTATTTTTCAAAAGTTTTAGCAAAATATATGTTTTTACCACCACTCAACTTTCGGTCAACACTGAAAGAAAGACTGGCAGAATCATTGTAATGTTACGTATTTGTTTTAAGCCTGGAGATTTGCATTTTGGCTCCAGCTGTGTTGGGGGGAGGAGCCAAAATATCAGGATAGGCTGAAGTACCAAGTTATCAGCTAATGCTAACAAGCTAGGTTAGCATAAACTGTATGAGTGCATCACACAGGCACATGCTAATTAACATGCTAATTAGCTCTAAGTAATATACAAATAATAACTACAGTTTCACTCACTCAACTGTTAGACGTCAGGGAATCACCTAAAAAGCCACCAATATAAGAATATAAGCTAAGCAGCCTAATTTAGCCCCTAACCACGCTACCTAGAGACTGGTTGGTGACACCCCGGCAACCACTGGTCATTAAGGAAAAATGTGTAATTTCTTGGCTGCTGGAAGAAACTATGAGAAGTCTGATGCAAAGTTAACGTTTCCCCTTTGGAAAGTTGTTGCAATGGTAGGGGACAGCTTTTACTTTGAAGGTTCTCCATTTCCAGCTTGTGCTGCATAGGATTCACTACTGCTCAGCGAGTGTTTGCAGACAAGTCAGCACCTTCCATGCAAAATACACCAAATCACTGCAATCTGGTAGCAATCAAAGCATTCACAGGGAGGTTTTTGGTGCAGCATCCTCTTTGAGAACAACAGCTAGCTGACCACTCTCGATGTTCATGTCCCATCGTCTAATGTGGATGAGGGGGTGGTCTAGGCACCAGGGGGCAACCAAGTCTTTCCTTAATTGGCTTCACACATTTTTGCAAGAACATGAATCAAAATATGCAAAAACACATATTTTCAAGTATTTTTAAGAGTGAAAAGAGAAGATGTTACCCTCCAAAAGCTCTTCAAAGTCATCGACGAAAAACTCTCTTAATGGCGGCCGTTTGGGTCTCTTCAGAGTGTTGACGAGTTGCTGTATTTTGGCTGAAACTCTGCTGCTGACTGGAACACCTGTGGAGCGTGAACAAACACACAAAAAGACCACACGTTTTAATCCAAGTCGTAGCTTAGACTTTCTAATTGCGCTTTCACAGGTGCACACGTGAAGTAGTCGCTGCTTTCGGATTCCACTGAGCAGCCCACCGTTTCATCCGTGATAGAAAAAAATCCCCAAGTTTTAACACTACACTGAAGAGCCCTCGAGTGAGCAATCATGACAGCTGCCGTACAAAATGACACTCAAAATGCAAAAATAGCGTATGAGATGAGGTGTGGGCTCAAATTGCTCTTTCATTAAGGCCATTTTCAAACCCACAGAGTTTGTAGCCTTAAGACAAAGAAGGAAAATGAAAGTCTAAATGTGGATGTAAACAGATGTACTGGCAGACTTGGTTTGGGCTGCAGGGTGAACCAAAGACAGACGTGATGTTGTTAAGATTATTTCGTCTGTGTGTGAAGGTAAAGGAGCGCTACTCAGGGAAACTCGAATACTTTTGTTTTCACCCTCCGCAGTCCTCGGGTGCTTATGCGGTTTTTGTTTGCCTTTTCTCTCGTCAGGCTTTTCTCAAGCAACTGAACACAAAGGAAGCGTCTTTTTTTCCATCCCTGGCTGTTTCACATTTATCCAGTCAAAAGATGCAACATTTAATTCATTGTATTTATCCTTGCAAAAGACCACTGCACTGTATGAACTGCCGATGTTAGAGGTTAGCTTGCAACACTCACACCAGCTGTGGATGTGTGGGTGGATGTTAATGTACATTCATGTAAAACTCAAACTGCGACTGACCTCAGCAGCTCACCAGGAAGTACATTTCTTTTATCCAAACATTTTCTTCTGCCCCTTAAAACGTATTAAGAACATGCATAAAATGCACGTTAATGTTTGGCGGTGCAAATTTTAATCCACCCACACATGCTGCACACGTGCTCCACATTTCAACATAAAGCGGGTGAAACAGGGCGGGAATGAAATGGTGAACGACAGATGCATGTCGCAACAGTGACCGACGAGGCGCTGCAGACGAAAATGAAGCGTGACAAGAGGAGGTGCAGTATTTGCTTTACCCAGAAAAAGGACTCTACTCTTATTCATCTGATAAATTATATTTTGTTTTCAAATTTGGGGTTTCTAGATACCTGATCGCAAGATCCACTCGATCCACTGCATACTGCAAATCTCATGTTTTATACTGTACTTCAGCCACCTGTCCAAGTGTATCCTGTTTTTTGCCCAATGACAGCTGGGCTGGGCTCCCTCTGCAAACCTGAACTGCATACGTGGTTAAAACAATGGACGTCTGGATAAATGTACACAAGTTACAAAAAGGAAAATACCCTTCAAGGATAAAAAAGCCTTAAAAATTAAATATAATACTTTTTTTAAAAACTACCACAGGAAATCCTCTAAAATCAAATGTTAAATCCTCAAAAATCCAAACACTAAGTATTAATGATGAAACATCTTTCGACTAAAGCTCATCTTTGGAAATAAAAGTCTGCGCAGCCCGACTGGAAGCAACACAATAAAAAGTGTTATTTCAGATGAAACCCTGTCTACTTTGTTGCATCTCTTCCAACCAAACATCCCGACAGGGCCCCGTGTGCAAACTCTGGCATCTGATCTATCAAACCACTTCATGCATTCAGCATCTCGGCCCGCGGCAGCATCCAGTGTATTGTCTGATGAATAACTCCGTCTGCTGGAGCCTCGCGTCCCTCCAGAGAAGGAATTATTGAACTACGAACCAGAAAACTGCCAACCTCTGTCATCTTTGAGGTCTCTGCAGAAATCTGTGGATTCATCTTTTGCAGTGCTGAAAGGCATTACGAACCAAATCCGATCCCCCGCCACGTCTGGACTACAAAGAGCTGGTTTATATAACCATGAATGAAGATAAACTCTTTGTTGGATTTTGCTGATACAGTTTGTGTTGTTTAGACTACAAGATTATACACCTGCCTGTGATAAGAAGAAGAGAAACACCTGCAGAAAATTATTACCAATGAACTTTTTTGGTTTTGCTTTTGCAAGAAAAATAAAAACGAAAACATTGAAACACAAAAGCAACAAAAAACACAATAAAAGCCTCACATGAATCCAAAGTAACAAAACATTCTAGCCTTCAGCTCTTCTTCTCTCATCATGATCAGGATGTTCTTCACATCCACTAAGACAGAAAATATGATGCATTCCCCCAAAGAAAATGCGACACAATCAGAGAATTTCACCTTGAAAAACACGAGCAACTGTTCATATTTGCCAGTCTTGACTCACCGTCTCCAGTTTCCATCAGCTCCGCGTTGCCGTACTTGGGTGTCTGTCTTTGGGCTGCGGTGCCAGCGCCTGGGGCTCTCTCCACCTGGATGGCGTCGGTCGCGGTGGTGTTGGCGGTATTGTTGGTGTAGCCGGTGACATCTGGAGGGGCAGAGTGGTTCTCTGGGATGTGAAAAAATAGGGAGGCGGGTTACTACCCTCACACATCCTGCTGTTACTACACTCTAAATGTGGATCAGAAACCCAGCACAACCCAGTAAATTATAAACATATCTGCTGGATGACAGACTAAAGAAGTTTCTACTTAAATGAAATTGACACAAGAAGTCAAAGATGAAGATGAACATCAGTGAAACTGCATTAAAGCAGCTGAGGTGTCGATCGAACGGTTAAACAAAAAGTAACTGATGAAATAAAACGTTGATTAACCGATAACGACTGGAGACAACTGAAACATCGGCTGAATATTAATAAGTGTTGTGCATGCAGAAAGGACATAAGGTGTCAGTTAAGTTGTAAAGACTGAAAGCAGCGGAGTCGTCAGTTTAAATGTCGGTTGAATCACCAGTTCTTGAGCCAGCAGAGGCGAAACATCAGTGCCTGAAAACAGCTGTGGCTTCAACAGGCTTTCAGACAGGAAGTGACACAGACAGTCAATGAAATTCAGATAATTAACAAAGTTAATACTTTGGATATTTTAGTCTATTTTACTAAAGACGGTTCCATAACCTATTGTCTCATGCAGCAAGGCAATAAAATGATTTCTAGTAAAATTCTTAAAGATATGTGGATAAAAACACTATTGGAAGCCACAAGAGAAAGAAAATTAGGAAGAAATTCACTGACTTCCAAAGAATCTTTAAAGAAGAATCACATCGGGGGCTTAAAGATGTGACACACTTCAAAAAATAGAGCAAAAATCCACCAGAACCACCAAATCCCTCCAGAATCTCCCAATCATTCCTCACTGATCGCTCCACAAACCGCTCATTTCACCACCACCTCCCTCTACTGCAACATCTGCCTCTCTCTCGAGCAAAAAAAAAGAAACAAAAAAGACTCCATTTCCATCAACACCCACATCATACCATTCATTTCTGGTTGTTTTTCACCCTATTTTGTGCTGCATTTAGATACTGCTTCAACCTGTCTGCTGTGCCTAATGTTTCAAAGCACATAGCATTCCTTAAATTCTTCAAATTTACCTCTTTTATGAGGCTGGGATGCAGTTCAGCAACATCAAACGCTGTTTACTGTTCTGCCCGAGGGCTTCTTTACTTTGAGTGGTCGAAGCATGAAATGATGATAGCAGGAGGATGCGCGGTGAATCTAAATTGGGATGTGTGTAGGTATATCCTTACGTATCCTTTACTGTATCTTTGCACTGAGTCAGAGTGCCCACTTCAAGTTAATCCAATAGAAAGCCATCCCCACAAAGCCAAAAGTAGGTTTGTGGTTCTACGCATTGCTGTTTTTGCTGCGTTATGTGCGTCATTTGCATTGGGTTACCACTGCATTAACATTTATAGCACGCTGAGATTGATCTTGTAGTCTTGGGTTTCAGAGTTGCAAGGTTCCCTAATGTTCACTGTGGGTCATTTTTGGCATTTAGTGCTTCGTGCATTTGGAAATCCCTCCAGTTTCTCCTTATCGGGCCTCCTGTAAGGTCAGAGGTCAAGTGCAGATGTAAAATAACAATCACAGGATGCAACGTGCATTGAAACATCTGTAGGGTGCGTCTTAGACATTAACCACTCTCTGAGAATACTGGGACACTATCCAACCATTGAGTCCATCTCGGTTATATTTTAGTGTTGAACAATACACAGTTAAACCCTTTAAGTTTGAAACACAGCTCAAGGGAACTAAAAGTCGTCATTTCAAATTGTACCTCAACTTCAGAATAGCAGGACTGAAGGAGCACCTCTTTGCTTAACTTCTAAAACACCCTCAAAGAGAGGTCACCACTTTGGATGATTTATATGTGAACGCTTGCCTCGCTGCTCCCATTCACAGCTTCCCGCATGATGCACCGCTGCTTCAGTCAAGGACCAGAAGACAAAGGAGATCAAACTACTTCACGGCGTGCTGTGAAAAGGCAGCAGAGCGAGTCATGACTGAGGGGTCCTGTTCACAAGTGCTGCTCATGTTAAGGTAATTCACTCCATCACGTGCCCACGATTAAACTCACTGAGATGTTTCGAAGGATGCTCATTACGTCACTTAGCATCTGTTTCGGATGATGAGACGAGGTTGGGTTTCTGGTTTCACATCATTGCGTTTTATTCTAATGAGAGCTGTCAGCATTGACTTTCATTATTCATTTGGCTTTGATTAAAGGTCTATTGGCTCCATCCACCACCAACTATATACAACTTTACATTTGCTGTTCTCTGTAAATGAACTTTCTGTATGTGGATTCACTCCTTGTGTTTTTATTATGTAATGGCATTGACTTGTGTTCTTCCTTCCCACTGTCGCCAAGTGTTTGCTCATGTCAGAGCGTTGCAGCATCTTCTGTTATGGTGTAAAACACTTTGAAGTGACCGCTGTCAGCTGGTTCTACATAAATAAACCCACAAGAATTGAAGAGAAGCACTTCACAGATTCAGTCATTCATTTAGTGCCCCATCTATAGCCTGTATTTGTTTACATTTCTTTAAACTGGTGAAATGTGAATAGGTTGATTTAGCCATTATCATTTTCACGTCTACATGTCGATACTGCAAAAATAAAAGGCAGTTCTGATGCATCTTTTCCCAGTTGTTTATTTGTGCTTATGTCTCCTTTATCCAGAATAATGAGGTGAATTACCAATGACCAAATTAAATATTTAATTCACAACACAATGTTAATCATTTTAAGCTCTAACGACTTATGCTAAACGTAAAACACCAAGAGCTTACTCATTTTGTTTTTTTATTTGGTTCTATCCATTTAATGTCACGACTCTTTCATGTGTTCGAACAAATAAAGCCGAGAGCCGCTGAGCTCAATATGAAGTGAAAGGCTTGGAAAGACTGAGAAATATAAGTGCACAGTGAGAGAAAGGCAGGGATGATTTCTAGCAAAGCACTGAGCCCAAGCCAGCTGGAGAGAAACTGAATTCTTTATCCAGACATGGACTGCATATCAACAATGCAGCTCCCAGCACAAGCATGCTAATTACTGTAGCACGCTGTCTCTGCAACATCTGGGCTGACGGTTTGAGCTACACATATATTCTCTGTAGGCACTTGTTGTGCAGCATCTGTGAGAATATGTGTGTGTGCATGCACGCACACATATTTGCTCCTCCAGTGACCTCATCAGGTCGTCTTTATGAAGACCTGAGACAGAGCTGAATATCATCACTGGCTAAGGATGAGGATGATGATGATGATGAATGCCTCATTCACTGCTGGAATATCCATCAGAGAGGCTGAGGCTGCTTCAGGGACAGGAGACTTTAATGTGCGGGCTCAAGGATCTGTGGCTGGTAGTTTGCAAGCCCCACAATTGAAAATGTCTCCATCAATTTCTGTGAATCTTGTTGAAGCATTACTGTGGATAAATGTGCTTCACAAGGAAAAGTTTGGGATTTTCTTTCTTTCTTTCTCTTGAAAAGGAAGTACCCGCGCTATAATTTGTGTCCGCTGCCTATTTACACTGGACAAAAACGTTTAATTATTCATGCATTCTTGTGAATCGGGCATTAAATCCATCTTTGAGTAAATAAATGCATGATTTTTACAAAAAGTTCCAGCATAGTATTTCTAATATATTTCTTACAAAAAGATAAAACCAAGCTGTTTATGCTGGATCAATAGAACTCAAACTGCACTGCAGAAACAGGCTGATTTGAGGCTTAACGCAGTGAATGACAAGAAAATACCAGCCTTTGTTTGTTTTTGAAACAACTTTGTGTTTGCAGGGGGTAATGGGATGCTTTGGTTCTTTGTAACACCAGTGACCACTGGTGTTTCAGGCACATCTTAAAACTGGTTTATATTTTATTTTGTTAGATGATTTGGGGACTATGTCTGATATTTCCCCACTGTCTTACAAGCGAGCAAACCCATTGAATGAGTGAGAAACATACTAACAAAAGTCTAAGTGTAGGTTTCATGCAAAATAAATCTCGGACTGGTTGTTTGGTACCGGGCCGCGAGAGTTGAGGCTCGGGTGTGAAATTTATGGTTTTCAGGGTTTTTATCGTTATTTTTTTTAGCGTTTTTAGCGTTAACTTGGTTTCCCTGGGTCTTTTCCCGTGTGTTATGAATAAATCTTTTTTTTTGGTACTGGTACTGGTTTTGTTTTGCTGTATTTAGCCGCAACACCTTAGAGGCCGATCCATGAAAATATTGTCAGAAATAAACCGGTCCATGGTGCAGAAAAAAGGTTGGGGACCGCTGTTCTAAAGTATTCCAGTATATTTACCTTAGATCAGCTGATCTACATATGCAGAAGAACACAAAATTTTATTTACCATCCGATCCTGACTCATTGGCATATTAAAGAAGTTTCTGTTATTGCGTCGTGTGTGTAAATGCCTGCTCTTCCATGTGAAGCTGCAGCTCTCCTGCACATATGTAACAGTCAACAGGCTGCTGCAAACCTCAGTAAACACATTTGTATGATTCGTTTAAATACCCTCCTCCCAAAATTTACAAACACAAATACATGTGCATGTCCACACTGATACTTTTTTCCTCCCAAGCACCAGAAGAAAGTTGCTGAATTGCCCCATGATGCTTTTAATTTTATATTTTCTTCGATGGGAATTTTACTATTAAAGCGATTTAATTGCCGATGATATCCAGCTATACCTTTTCATTTAAACCAAGTGAATCATGAGTTCAACATGAGTAGCATCCATGTTAAACACATCTCTAGATCTTTTTTTCCACTTAAGAAGTATTAATACTTTTAGATGCACCGTTTAAGAGAAGCTGGAGGTGCTCGTTTATCTCTAACAGCTACTGTAATGCACTTTTTTACTCAGTCAGTAGAGCAGCCCTCAGCCATGCTGCTGCTGGATTACTCTCAAGTAATAGGTTAACCAGACGATCTCATATTACATTACAGCAGTTGTTCCATAATTTATAATCTGTAGAGTAGCTTCGATTTGTGTTTTCATCACGGCTGAATTTGCTTTTATTGTTTGTGCTAATAAAGAGGCAGAAACTCGGGCCAGGCCACAGTCAGGGAGCACTCCTTAGATAAAAGAAAAATAGAAAACTAATGAAAAGTCTAATTAAGAAATTAAACCAACGTGTGCCATCACGACAGCTTCGATGGACCTTTGCACTGATTCTCCAGGTTTCTGGAGCTGCAGAGGAAGGAACGCTATTCGTCTCCACGATGGTGGTGGAGAGACGTCAGTCAAAAATCACTCGCAGGTGTTTAATAATGATTCATGTCACTATTGTAGCTCATTAACTTTGTCTGCTCTCTCCCACAGTTTGTGTTTTGTCCTGTTTGTTCTCTCTTTGTTTTGGTCTTTTCTTTTCTCTGACTCCTGGCTGCCTCTAAATGGCGTCCCCTCCTCCAGTCTGGTTATAGGGGCGTTCTTCCTCCCCGCTGTTGCCAAGTTCCTCTACAGGATCTTTAGGGTTTTCTCCCCCATATTGAATGCAAAGCAACAGATTTTTTTTTATTAAATTGGCACTACATAAATGAGTAACCGAATAAAACTAAATGTAGGATCAAGATGTGAATCACTTCCTCATCTCATTCATCGTGGCCATCGTGTTGTTCCCAAACTGTTTTCCTCTCTCCTCTGAGACCACCGACTTTCCCCTCGCAAATATACAGCACTGACAGGGGGGCTAAGCTCCTGTTAAATCCCAGTCGGCCTCATCTAGACGCCTTAATCACATTGAATATGGGAACTATTCCAGAGCAGTGTTAGTGGATTCAAAGTCTATTTTTAGTTTTTGACAATGACAAATGGTTAATTAGAGGTCTGTTCTTAAAGTCTTTCTTCAAGTGACTGCTCCTTGTTTGCTCCACCATGGATAAGTGTATTTTCTCTGGCAGTCCAACAGGAATGGTGCAAGGAGTCACTTCAGTAAATGAGCGCATCATCCTGTGCTGCTGCCGTTTTACATGCCAGGCACTGAGTGGTGCAAAGCAGGAAGCGTCTTCAGTTCACAACTCTTGGCTGTTACATGTCGTGCTGGTTTCTTTGATATAGTATCTATGATTTAAGGTAGCAGATTGCAAAAAACACAACACGAAAAAAAATTACAGACAAAAACTAAAACAAGGAAGCGGACGGGCAGCCTGCATTCCTCTACCATCTGCTTTCTGGCCTAGATGAAAAGCTGCTTTGAAAGCAGATTGCCTCTGGCTGAGAAAACAACTAAAATCATGCTGCATAATTAGGCAAATCAATAAAAAACGACAAACAGAAGAACCTTGAAAAGAGGAAAGAGTCACACAAGCTGCTATCCAGCTTCTTTAAAAGCATTGTTGATTTTCCTCATCAACAATTCACACTTTCAAAAGCTGTAAGCACAGCCTCTTTTTTCAAATCCACACAAACAAACTGCTTTCATGCATCTACCACAACAGCTCAATGCTACTCCTATCAAGGTTAGCATTGATGGTTTCTCCTCTGCACTTATACAACATGGCTAGGCACAAATTTAATTAGCGGGGAAACAACTGAGGAGGGGCACAGCTCGAACAGCAGGCATATGATGGAGGGCACTGTGGAGAGAAGGTTAGCTGAAAATTATGAGGGGGGAAATACGACATCCCTGTTCGTGCCAAGGGATGGCGGGAGACTGACCCTCATTCTGGGCTCTCCACCAGCCATGCTCCGATTGAAACTTACCGGAGCGTCGTGGACCAGAGTTTCCATTCTCTATCATACCAGCTGGCACTGCCCTCCTCCTTCTCAAGGAGAGGTGGCTTAAAAGGCCTGCATGTGAGGAACAAGAAGGGAGGGGAGTCTTTAAAAGTGGCATCAATCGCAAACCTCTGGTCTTTGTTTTTGACACAACACAGCACATCAACGCAAAATCTGAGTCCACAGATTAAACTGCAACTGGATAATGTGAAGATTCCCCACGGTGAGGGAAGAGTGTTGTGGGAGCAGGAGAGTGTTTTCCACGGGACTTTACAAAAAGAAGCCAAAATAGGAAAACTCTGGTGAGGAAAGAAACTCCTGACGTAAGCTGTGTGCGTACATGGCTTTTAAATTTAAAGAAATTATATCTTCTGTTGGTTCTCAACAGTGTGCAAGGCATTAAAGCACTCATCTGCACACAGCTGGATGTTCTGTGAGAAATGCTCCATCAGGCTGTAGTTTTCATTTCAGCTATTTTGGTGCTTTGTGTCACTGTGAATTATGACAATCCGGACCAAACCGGCTCCACTGAAGCTGCAACATTTTTACAAACCAATTCTGGTTCATCTGTTTCATTCAACGATCCGCTTTCGTCCTTCTCATTCTGCGTCGCCGCCATGCTTTACCCATATTCTATCGCGATATTTCATTTTCTTATCATTGCCTAACACTGTACCGGTATTACCTACTTTAAAGTATCACTTTTTTCATAAATACACGAACAAGATTCCTGTTAAATTACAATAAAGTAAAGAATGTGCACATATAATCTACAAAAACAATTTCTTACTATAAAAATATTACAGCACTATACTCTATAGAATATAAACTTCATTACACAATATTGTCAGATGGTTGCTTCCGATTTTACTCTTAATTTATTGTACCTACTCTAATTTTAATAAACAGTAATTGTACCTACTCTAATTTTAATAAACAGTAACTATATAATAGAGGTGGGAATCACCATACATCCCACGATACGATATTATCACAATACTTAACGCACGATACGATATTATTGCAATTTTTTAAAATATTTTGCGATATTCAGATTCTGTACATAGAGTAAACTTTGATATTAGATAAAATGAATATTGATAAAGTCTCACACTCAGTCTTTCTCTCATTTCAGTCAGTTTTATTGTTGACAAACTGAACGATTTGTATTACAGTCTAGTCCAACTTAACTGAATGCAACCATCTGGTACAATTATAGCTATTCTGAACTATGCGATTTATGAAAACTATGCAGCCCCTTCAGCAACTGAAGAATTTGAAAGTAAATTTAAAAAAAATATAATTTTACATTAAATAAAAAAGTTTTAAACTTAATTAAAATAAAACATGTCTTAAATGAAAATAAGTAAACTGTCATGTTTATTGCTGCCAAAAAACAAGTTAAACACATTTGGACAGTGAAGGAATGTCAGGATTCTTGCTCAGAAAAAGGATCAACATGCTCTGAGCACAAAAACCTTTTTTGTAACAAAATATCGATTTCTGCTGTCCCTGTATCGATACATTATTAGCAAACAAAATATCACGATACTACACAGTATCGATTTTTTCCCCCACCCCTACTATATAAGCATATAGGCTACCCTCTTCTCCTGCTGCTTGGACAGCAAAATGCTGGTGTATTCAACATTACACACAGGAACAGCAACCACATACACAAGCACAGACACACAGGTTCTGTACAGGAGCTGAACTCAGCCCAGAGTCAACAATAACAACCAGATCGTCTGCGATGATCCTGTGAAAAAGATCTGCAGGCTGGAGGAAAATGTGGAGAGATGAAAGGAGCGATGACCAATTGGGGAGATATGAGAGAACAAAAAGTTATCGTCACAGGCAAACCGAGCAGTTCTGATAAGAGCTGAATAAAAAACAAGGGGGGGAATGATTCTGTTCATAAACTCTCCTAAGATTTTACACACACACACACACACACACACACACACACACACACACACACACACACACACACACGGATCTAGGCTGTGTTGGCCTTGAGCGAGGAAACGAGAAGCAGAGCTTCAACCCACACGTGTGCACACCGCTCAGGATTTCCTCTGTGATAAACATGAACTCTGTAACTTCACAAAAGAACAGGCTCAATGAAACTTTACACCAACCAGCTGGAAAAATTACAACAACATGATGTGATGTAATGGAAATCCGCAACTCTCAGGGTTAGCTATGCAACCAAAGACGCTGCCCAGGACTCAACTGCCTGTCAGCAACAGGCCTCTGTATACCAGCCACAGCACAGACTGGGAGGAAGTCGAAGTCATCGATTAGAAGTAAAAAACAAACGGAGGAATGTTCTCATCACCTGAAACGAGACATCGCTGACCTGTAAGTGCGTTTCCATCTATTGGTTTTATGCACATTTTGAGGTTTGACTCTTATTTTAATCTTTTAAATGATCTCAGAAGAATTAGCACCACCAGCTGTTTATAACAAAGCATCGTTGTGGGCGGAAATCTGGCTAAAATGTGGGCAACACTTGGATGCAGTTTGTGCCTTTTGCTAATTGCATTATGCGCAACGATGCCAAGGCTTCATTCCAGCCATGAATATTTATGTAACCGGGGTTTATAAATACAAGAAAACCTGTAGTCATTCATCATCCCTTAGCTGTGAGTTCCACGTTTTCTGTATTCAGTCCACAGAAAGAGTGTGAGTGAAGCAAGAAATGAAGCAGCAGAGATACCTGACAGGTAGTAAATTATCAGTTCTTGCAGACAAAAGTCTTTGCTGTGGGTATAAAGCCCTCAGGGATGGTGACAAAGACCGAAACACAATGACTCAACTGGGTCACGTACCCATCTTTATTCCTCACACAGGCCATTATTGCTTTGATGGCTACAAATGCACAAATGCATACACTGAGGCAAGAGGTCACACACGTAATTGCAAAAGCAAGGCACACAACTGCAGCACGGGCAGGAAAATACAAGCCCGGACCCCCGAGACAAACTCTGATACCCAAAGAGGGGAGAGAGGGGGCTGTAGTCTATTCCAGCTACTACAGGACGAGAGGTGGGTACGCCCAACATAACCCCACCAACTGCACCAGTCCAGAGCCCACGCAGACACAAGGAAAACATGCAAACTCCACACAGAAAGGGCCCGGCCAGCTGCTGGAATCAAACTCAGGACCTTCTTGCTATGTGGCAACAGTGCTAACCACCGTACCAACAAAAATACAAAATACAGCCCACACGCAAACAAATTCAACTAGGGCCAAAGTGAAGGAATGAAGAATGCAGAAACAAACTCACGGGGAAATGGCTGAAAGTGCGACTGAGGTTCAAAGAAGACCTGGCAAAGCAAGAAAGAAAAGCATGGGAGCAGATATATACTGGGGGAGTGGCCGGCTAATTAGAAACAGACACGGCAGAAAATAAAAACACGGGAAGGAGAAGAGCTAAACAGGCCTGCTCGGTTATGATGAAAATCATCGAACAGTAGTAGAGGATTTATTAAACTTTTTATTTTTTTTAAGGGCGTCTTCCCATCAGAGCAGCGAAGGAGCTGGATGTAGGCTGGGTGGAGCTGGCGGGGGGGGACTCTGTGTCTGCCGGTGCATTATCTTCAGAGCTGGATACCAGCCGTGCCAGCGTGAAAACAAACCTGTCTCCGCCAGAGCATTCAGTCCTCGGCTGTCAGGGAAATGCACAAATGGGTTTCTGTGGCAGCAGCGAGCCAGTTTTTCACTTTCATGTTTGCGCCGTGTTTTCGACATGAATTGAAGCTGCTGGAAACCAACTTCCACCCTGCTGTAGCGCTGGCAGAATGTCCTGCCCTCCCAGTTTTGCAGGGAAACGGTGTGCTGGGAAAATCGCATTCAGTCCTTTGGCAGGTATGCTTAAAAACTTTGTGTGAAAATTCTCCAGACAGGAAGAGGAAAGAACAGAAATGCCCACTAAATAACATCGTCCCAGCGTCCTGACAGGTCACAATGAATTTCTGATTGATGAATGGTCATATTTGCTTCTCCTGCTGAGGTTTAAAACACATTTCCATTCTCAGAATAGTTTGTACAGGCTAGCAAGCCTCTGCAGGGCCTTGATCCTTTTGAGACATATTACTAAATGTTCTCAGAAATACTTTAAATAAGCTGTGGTGGTTATTTTTCCATCATTTAATTTAAAATGATAAACTTCATTTTCTTTTTCCTTTACATGTAATATACTGAAGCATCTCTGTTGTTTTCATTCAGATGATTTTGGCTCATATTTCATTAAAATAAGAAATCCAGTGCCTCTAATTATTAGAATATTTCTTAAGATCATTCAAAGGAAGGTTTGACAATATAGACGTGTCCAGTTTCATTTCATTTATACACTCAGTACTCGGTTGAGGCTCCATTAACAGAATTACTGTATCGGTGTAGTGGTGTGTGGAGTTGATCAGGTCAGGGTGCATCTGCTGAGGTGTTACTGACGTCCAGGTTGCTTTGATAGATCCTCCCTGGGATTCAGGCCAGGCGAGTTAGCCCAGCAATAACACGGTCGGCAAACCATCCATATGCAAAAAGTTCATCATCAGCTGGAAGCAGAAAGAGCTCTAAAATCTTCTGGTTGACTTTAGACTTGATAAAACGCCGTGGAGCACCAACAGCACCAACTCTTCACAGACTGTGGAAACTTCACTCTTCAGACTTTAACATCGTAATTTCAAAATAAAATACAAAACTGACTTTAATCTGAAAAGAGGACTTTGAACCACTGAGAAACAGTTCAGTCCTTTTTCTCCTCAGTCCAGATAAGATACTGTGACGGTGTCTCTGCGTCAGCAGTGGTTTGATATCAGGACTGAAGCTGTTGTAGGTCCTTTCCTGAAGACGTTTGTGTGTAGTGGCTCTGAGATACTGACACCAGCCTCCGCTCACTCAGCTGAAACTCTCCAAAGTTCTTGAATCGACTTGTCATCACAATCCTCTCAATGCTGCGGTCATCCCGGTTGCTTCTGCACCTTTTCCTACCACAGTTTTCCCTCCCAGTCAACTTTCCGTCGATATGCTTCGATGCGGCTGTGAGCGGCCGGCCTTTTCACCAACCTCCTGTGGCTTTCCCTCCTTGTGGAGGATATCTGTCAAGTCAGCAGTTTTCCTAATGTCGTAGTAGCTGGTATGGTCTGGATTGAGAGATACTTGTAATTACAATTCAAACAGTATGAATACCAGTAACTACGTTACTTCCTTCAGTTTATCGTGTTGGTATGGCAGAAAAAAATCAGATAAGTAGAAATAAGAACAAAAGCATGACACATCCTGGTCTCATGGTTTGATTCCAGCTGTTATCTGGCCGTTGGCACATAAAGCGTGAGGATCATCAGTATAACGGTGTCTTTAAATGTGTCAAAATGAAATAAACGGAGACACTGCAAAAACTATTACTGATGAGACAGATTTTGTTAAATCATTACAGAATGTGCTGAGTTTGTGCAGGCGTCAAGGTCACGAGACTCAAAAATATTTTTCAATGAAAGTATGAAAACTGAAAAAGGAGCAGTAGGGGGGGAAAGCGCAGCAGAAACAAAACAAAAAGAGAAAAGTGGCTGTCAGGAGAATGACAGCAGAACTGCCACAAACACACACAGTAAGTTACAAACTCCACTTACAAACTCAAACAACACAAGAAAAAAGGACCTTGAGCTGAACACTGCCATCCAACATCTTACTGTGAAGCTCAAAGATGAAACGCTACGTCCAGATTCTCTCGGTAGATGCACATTTTTTATTAACTGCTGACTCAGTTTTAGTCAGAAAAAACTACAGGACAGTTTCTGTTTTAAATTCAGCTGCTGTTTTTTTTTGTCTGGGATTCAAGGACCTTCAGGGGTCTGAGGGGGATTTGAGGTCTCCCACAAAGTATTGAATCCTTTATGTTTATTATTCTGTTTATTATTTTATTATTCTGTTCTTGAGGAGGTGAAAAAGGGGAAAATATATAAGAAACAGTGCTCTGATGGGAGCTTTAGTTTTTATACGCAGCTGTCTCAGAGTCCATATTGTGCTTTGCATAATAAAATAAACTTTTATTAACTTCTTGGGTTGAAAGATGTCATTTGTACTTGATTAAGTTTCATATAATGTTTAAAACAATGTTTAATTAAGCAATGATCTGGATTAAATGTGTGTGAATATTAACCCTGTCCTGTTTGTCTATTTGGTCCCATATGAAAGACGAATAACTAGAAACTTTGTAACAGTAAGCACACACCACGACTATATGTATTTATTTTAAAAAAGTGAATTTAAGAAGAAACGAGGTGCACATGAAAAAACAGCGGCCATATTAGATGATTGTTAAAGTGCACATTATTTAGGTAAGGGTGTCTGAACCTGTGAGGTAGAGTCAGAGTTTACCAAAGGACTTGGCAAACAAAATTGGACACTTCAGGAAAAATCTAAATCTTAGAGCGGTTGGGTTGTTTTGGTTTGTCCAGAAGAGTCTGATTTCGTTAGGAGTGTCGAGACCTGCTAACAGAAGCTTTGTATTTTTGTATACATTGTCTGGATTAGCTGAAGCTGCCTTGACGAGGGTCTTCCACCTTTGCTAAAGGAGTTTGTAGTTTACTAAAGGTGTCGTGAATAACTGTAAGGCGCCATTAGATAAAGCTGCAAAGGGCCACACAGTGGACAGCTGAATGTAAACCTCTTTGACAGACGTGACAGAAAGCCTGTTTTTTCAGCCTGAGGCTTGAATTCATGTTTAAAAATGTTCCCTTTCAGTTGAAACTGACTTAAACAGCTTTACAGACTCACTGCAGTCGTTGGCCTTCACATTAATGACACAGCGCTAACTGCTAATGATCGTTTTATTTTCCCTGTAGGACGCCGTGTGCCACGCCGAGACCAAAAGTTAGACTATTATGTCAGCACTGCGCCAAGTCACCTACCTTTACTGTGGTGGTGGTGGTGATGGTGGTGGCGGTGGTGGTGCGAGGAGGAAATGTGAACATGCTGGGCCAGCACGTCAGCCAGCCTGCCGGCCGCTGCCCCGCTCCCGCCGCTGCGTGTGGAGGACGAGGACGAGGAGGCTGTTGACGAGGTGGTGGTGGTGGTGGAGGAGGTGCCGTGGATTGCCCTGCTGATCCAGTGCTCCATGCTTATGCTCCCTTCCTGGCTGGACGAGGTTCCTCCGCCGCCTCCTCCGTCTTCTTCTTCACCTTCTCCTCCCTCTTCTTCATCACCGTCGCCCTGACCTTCGCCCTCTGAGCCTGAGGAGGTGTCTGAGGAAGACAGAAGATGAGGATGGACATTAGGGTTAAAGTTTTATCCAAACCGTGGAAAAATAAAATGGATCTTTCCAAACAGAGGTGACGATGTGTAAGCCCTACTCCCCCCCTCTGGGTAAAGTCGCTGCAGGGGAGGAACACAAACTTGTTTGTGCGTGTGAAAGCTAAAACGTGTGTGCGTACACGGGTGTGTGCTTCTGCAAGTTTTGCATGGCATTTCCATAATGCCCACGGCGTTATGAGGCTAGTAGTGGTGATATGAATAACAACAGAAGCTGACCTAGTTCACACACACACACACACACACACACACACACACACACACACACACACACACACACACACACTCACTCAAAGGTACTCGATTAGTGTGCACGTGTGTGTTTTCTCTCAGGGCAGATGCAGAGAGAAGGTAACTGTGCGACTGACGAGGAAAGTCCAACAATAAAAAAAACAAAAAAATTGAAAATTCAAATATTTCAACCCAAGAGTGTTACTATGAGACGTTTGATCTTTTTAACTATAAATGGTTCCTTACCCGATAAAGGGTTAAACTGGTTTGCTGCGCTCCAGTGTGACTGACTTTAGTACACACACATATACAGCTGGGACTCTGTACCTGTGCAACAGGTGAAACCATCTGAAAAACCTGCACTAAGTTTAAGTCAAAGCCTTTACTTTGTCATTTAGCTGCGTTCATCTTCACATTTATGAAGTTGATGCTTTGGTTTGTTTTTCTTGTTTTAATAACCACATGGAATCAGCTGCTGAAGTTGGTCAAAGTGAAACCAAAACACCTGGTAAATTAGAGCAACAAACAACAACGAGGACTAATGGTTGTTTCCAGTATTCATTCTGCTTTTAGCTCTGGGCGACCGGTGAAGAGCTTCCCGTCTGCTGTTGGGTGAGAAGCGGGTGGTGAACCAAAACAATGAGATGAATGAAAGATGCTAAATATCAGCTACGAGGGACCTGCACATTTGCTTAGTATTTTATAAAGTTAGTCACTAAGAGTGACATCTTTCACGTTACATGCTATGATGCATGTGTAAGAATTTGGTAGCGTGGCGACGTTAGCAAAACTATAATGAATCAGACTGTCTAAAGCTCGTGAGGAGCAACCTTCATGTAATCTTAGGTGAAAAGTAAACACAAGATTTCAGCTGTTTCCTTAAACTAAAGTTAAATCTTATCTGGATAAGATTTACATTACCATTCGAACTCGTGCAGATTATATAGTAATTTTCCCTGACACTGATCTTAGTACAATAAATGTTTCAGTGTAAGACATCAGAGTTTCGTCACTGCTCCTGTGTTAGTAAATCAAATCTTAAAAGATCAATAAGAAGCTTAACATGAAAGCTTGTCTACACAAATCCTTTGTATGATATACAGAGGGGAGATCCTCAATTTGGTCTCAGGCACTGTGAGCACAGAAGCCTCCAACACCCACCATGCAAACCTTTTGTTAGTGAAGACAGGATAAAACTGATTTAAAGGTGAAGAGGGCTTAATCATCTCGTGTCAAACAGTCCACTGCAGGAGGAGCTGCAAAGCTAGAGTCAAATAATATAAATATGTAGAGTTTGATGACCAAACTGTGTATTTCTTAAAAAGAAGAAGAATTGAATCTGAAAGCAGAAAAAAAAAGAAAATCAGTGTACTAGAGCTGTTATGGTGGTTTTTTTTTTTTTTGCTTTTACAATTTAACGTGTACAATCGAGACTTTGAAAGTCAGCATATTTGTCATTGATACAGCTGACAGCACTAGAAAACACCATGTGACTGGATGTAGTCTTCCCATGATGCTTTGTGCTAACACACTTGATTAATGAATGTGGATCTCGTTATCCTGCTCATAGCGAGATGGGGAGACTTCCAGTGACAAAATATATTGAAAGCGCAACGCTGCCAGCTGACTTACGAAGCAAATACTCAGAAAAATGCAGAAAGAGAAACGAGAAAGTGACACAAAGCGGTTCCACAGAAATATATTTCACGATGCGTTGGAAAATTAAGAAAATGCAGCTGTGAAAATCAGTCAAAACCCGATGAGAGCACATCAGAGGCCTCTCTCACTTGTCATCTCCGCACGATACGACACGCTGCTCAGCAACACACGACTCGGCTGTCCTCGCATGAACCTCGTTGGCTGACAGAAATGTATGTGTGGCTGCGTGCGCACAAGTGCCTGTATGTGTGCGACTGCCTTTAATGCTCCCACAAGGTCTTTCTAAATCTGCACGATGAATTATGTGCAGTTTGTGTGTCATGTGTGCAGCTTGTTTATCTTCATTTGTGCACAACAGTAAAAATACCCGGAAATCACGTAGACGTGTGTTTGTGTGTAGTATTATGAACATTCTTGCAGAAAAAGCGTATGCACATTTGAAGCATGTGGCATGTGAGTCTTGCAAAAAGTCTGCTCAACAAAGGTTTCATTGCCATTTTGAATTTTGAATTATAAAAATTGAGCTGGGTTAAGATTCTGTTTCAGTGAAACTGTGGTCAGCAGTTATCATCATCAGTCTGGCATGCATCAATGCTAGCTAACTAGCATTAAGTCAATACTGGACTCTTTCCATAAGATTCAATACAAACAGGTATTTTGCATCCAAAGCCATCATCCCCTAAAGCACAGAGGTCCATTGTTTGTCCAGGAACTGCTAAAAACACAGTGAGTTGCACTGACTGATGTGTTCTTTTCAGAAGTCATAATTTACTTCGACTCGGTCCTACATATATCGTCCTGCTGCCCCAAATAATCACTCAAGCAGTAAATGTGTGTTAATCCATCACTACAAATAGTCCTCAGCTGTTTGGGGAAATCACCGAGCATTTTTCTCTTTTTTCTTTTTTGCCAGGAAAAAAAACAAAACAATTTGTTGAAAGATTTGTGTATTCAGCAGGAAGCAGTGGGATTGCCAAAGATAATCATAGGAGTGCCTGAGCTAGAGAGAGCCAGAAAGCACTGAGCAAATATAGAATAATGCCAGATGTCCCAATTAATTTTATGACTTTTTTTTTAAACCAAATCTTCATCTGTTGTTTAAGATACAGAAAACCCACAGACAAGGTAAACAGCAATGACATCACCTTTCTTGCAGATTTTTAAGTTTACAGTTTATAAAATCGCACCACTAGATGTCAGAAGATTGCAGATCGCAGAGTTTCTTCTATATTTCCTAGCTATGGTGACTGCTGTGAGACAAAAAAAGTCTTACAGCTGTTTATCTCTAGTGAATGTAGACCGCCAGTCTGCTGTTTACCTCAGATGGTGTTCACGTCTATTTACTCTGGAGGAGGACGAAAAACTGATACGAGTGGATGAATCAGTGAAGCTCACCTCTGCAAGTGACAGCAATACTGAGTTGAGCTGTTGAGGATATCCTGTGCTTTTCTCGCAAAGCGCTACTGTTTTTGTTGCTAATAGCTGCCGTTAGCCTCTGTTAGCTGCCGTTAGCCTCTGTTAGCTTCCGTTAGCCTCTGTTAGCTGCCGTTAGCCTCTGTTAGCTGCCGTTAGCCTCTGTTAGCTGCCGTTAGCCTCTGTTAGCTGCTGTTAGCCTCAGTTAGCTGCTGTTAGCCTCAGTTAGCTGCTGTTAGCTTCCGTTAGCAAAACTTTCTTTAAAATCTCCCAATCATTGCTGGACTTGGACAGACAATAAATTCTCATACAATGTGAGAATGTAATGTATGTATTCATTTTTTTTATCAGGGTGAAAGATTGATTTTTAGGATAAAAACATGTTACCCTATAACTGGCTGTTGGTACTGTCAGCTGTCTAAAGACGGGAGGGTCTAATGTGCTGACAATAAGTAATTGTGACACTATTGGGAATAAATATTCATGTTTATGCACGTTTTTATTTGTTAGAGCCCTGACTTGAGTTCAGGAGATGAAGTGGATGATTAGGTGGAACTGTGACGTGCATCTCAGCCAGTATTTTCAAGATGGTGGGGGAATGTGGCGGCTTCCACAAACAGACACCCGCTCCTTTTTATATTTAATGGATTAATTCTAAGTTTATGAGAAAATGCATCACTTTGTTGGGTAATATAATTCCACAGTAATCAATGTATATTTGTGAGTCTGTTTTTCGATTAAATAACCTCAAAAAATGAATGAATGTACATTTAAAGGTTATTTTCTACATGTTTTCCTATTAAATATTGTGGGAAGTAAAGACTTAAATCTATTTACGCTTCTAAAAATTGGCACCAGAATTAAGATTTAATAATAGTCAGATACCACGTTACATTCACCCACCTCATACTAGTTAAATATTGACATTCAGCTGCCTTCAGTGGTTGGCAGGAGTCTATGGGTGTTTTGTACGTGCTGACATCTTTCTATCATTGCCACCAACTTGTGCTTAAGCGAGCCCGGCCTTTACAGCCATGCACCTCAAAGGGCCCGGACGCTTCATCACCCTGTCACCAGTTAACCTGTTTTAAGTCCAATGACAACCTTTGGTAAGTAATAACCCCTAAATACAACAAACATCCAACAAGTGCTGTCATTTAGAAGATGCCCTAACCCCGTCATTCAGCAATTACATTTTCACCCTGATCAAAGTCAATCAGACACTTGCCTATTCCCAAGCTTCCAATGAAACTAGATGCACTGATTGTTATTTTACCACCTAGAGCCCAACACATAACAGGTGGCTCTGTAACAACATAATCAGAGTTATTGATTTAACTATCAGGGGTTTCAGTGTTGTGATTGGCTGCTGTGTATTCAAAGAGGAATTAACTGAATAAAACTGATTTATGTAACAAGTTTTTACCATCATTGTGTTGCTGTACATCACAGGACATAGTATAGAATAGAATAGAATAGACGTGTATTGTTATTGTATATGTACAACCAAATTATGGGTGCTCCACACCAACTGTGCAGGAATAAAATATAAATAGTAAGACAGCAGCAAAACATAATAAACAGGAGAAATATATGCAATCAGAGGGATATATACAAACTAGAGGTGGGGTGTGAGGGCATGGATCCATCTGCTTCTAATTTTGGTTAAGATGGGCTGTTAAGGAGAGCTGAAGAGTGAGAGGGAAGAAATAAAAAGAATATGTTGGATGAAGAGCAAGGACAAGGGAAGCCTGAGAGGGGGGAGCTGGAGATGCGAAAATAGTAAAATTGGTGTGTCCATTCAAACAAACAAACAAACAAACAAACAAACAAACTGAAAATAATGAAGTGATAATGAAGTGGATCGCCATGAGGAAGCAGCCTTTGGACATTCTGCTTCAACTGATCAAAACGAGGCTCCTTATTTACGTCTTTCACTGCTGTAGTTCTTCTCAGAGCTGTTAGTGTAAATCATGTCTAGTTGCTCAGTGAAGCTCAACCCTGCAGCCAAAGATATAATGGCCTCATTAACACTCTCATTAAACAACACCAGTGGAATAAAGACATGGACGACTGCCACCTTCGCCAAAGGACACATCCTAGTTTGCATGCTACGGGGACACCAGCGCCTCTGTGAAGCATCCTTTAAAAACAAGCTCCATCTATCATGTATTCACATAGAGCATTCCCAATGTTTACTGGAGAAATGCTTTGTGAGGGAGAAAGAAAATCTGTGGCCATCGTATTCCGGGAATGAGTCCGGGCATTTCATACGCCATCAACACTCCACTAACTGAAAAGTCCAATCACAGATATTTGAAGAGGCAACAAAGGGGATTTATAGAGTTGTTGCTCCCTGCATCGATGCTAACGCTCAGAAGATAAAACCCTGTGGGCCAAACAGAGTCCTGCACAAAGAAAACAGGAAAACGGATCTATACTGCAAGGTTTCTGTAATCTTCAAAACAGACATGGAGCAACAAGTAATTCATATGGCAATACATCACATTGGATCCTCTAGCAATGCATTATCGTTAAATGACAGAAAATGCAATACTGCCGTCCTTAATGTATGGCAGTGATTTAAAATGAAGCTTCTGCCCTTTGTTAGTCTGTGACTGTTTGACATTATTGAAATATGAGCTTATTGCCCAAACTTTAATGGAGGAGTGAAGGGAGTGACATTAACTTTAGCCGAGGCAACTAAACGTAGGGGATATTTTGGCTTTACTCGATAATTAGTGTGTTTCTGGTGATATTATAAATATGGGATTCGGAAAGAAAACCAATCAGTGTATGCAATAAATAGCTCTGTCAAACAGGTAATACTGGGCACTGTTTACCTTGTTTTCAGCTGTTAGTGTGTTTTACAGCTAACACAAGGCTTTTTTGAATATATATTATAAGATATTTCTCATTTATCGGAAACATGAAAACTGTTTGTATTTGTGTAGTTATGCTGAGGTTATATTGACCAGAAGCATTCAAGATTTTAGAGTAACCGTGGTATCTAAGGCAATAAACGATCCACACAAATGATTCTGTATTTCAGACCCTTCCACCGTCTCCACTGTCTGATGCTGCTGAGTGTAACACAGCAGGTCTGGTTGTGACATGAAAAATCCTTCCTCCACGTCCCGCTCTAGCAGAGCTGTACTTCATAAATCTGCTCATTAAGAATTTAAAGATTAACCCATAAAGAACGATTGAACTGTAAAAACTTAAATTACGATACAATGAGAGATTATTGTGCCGGAAAAGTGATATTTTGCGTCAATCGTCCAGAATGAATGATCGCCGTCCTCTGCATTGCTAAAGACGTCTTCCAGCTGACCAATCTGATGCGAGAACTTAGAGAAATCTACTTTCTAATGAGCAAAATAAAGTGGTTCACGTTTCCTGCACTGCTGTTAGCTTACAGAGCACCGATCCGTCTCCAGGTTTTATACAAGATGCTGACACGTCAGTCAATGACGGCTCGTCCTATTCATTCATTACCAATGTCACTACCACACGGAGATCGATACTGCAGCTACTCCTCTGCTCTTGGTGGATTTCTTCTGTTTAATATTAATGCAAACTGATCTTTTCTTTATTTTTGGTAAATGATTGAAATTTAAAAATCATCGTGCATCAACATAAACGGAAATCACATTTGCAAATGAGCATGGCGGTTTGCCAGCTGCTGTCAGAGTCGGTCAATGACGGAGTAACTCGACTGACAGCTTGAATCCCAAAGTTGGCAGATGTGACAGATGGCGGGCTATAACGTGACATTTCACGGGCTTTTCATTTCAGGCCTAAAGGAGACACCTTCTGAGAAAACCAGCGTAACTTACAGACGATAGAAACGGCACAAAACAGCCTCTTCTGCAGAGAGACAGAGCCAGAATAAACATGAAGCCACTGAATATATGAGATAGCATCTATAGATATTTACATTCTGTCTCTTTGTGAAAAACATTGCTGACTTTGATTTTGATCAATTTTTTGCTGATATTCTGTAGTGATGGAGGATAAATCTTACCGACTATATTTCCTGCGGTGCCACCAACATGTCAGAAACTAACCTTGCCCCGTGTTTAAACACAACACATCAAAACTTCCTGATCTTTTAGATGAAGTTTCTTCTTCTTTCAGCTGCTCCCTTCAGGAGTAACCACATCGACTCATCTGCCATATCCCTAACACCCTCCTCTGCATGTCCTTCTCTACATCCATGTACCTCCTCTGAAGCCTTCCTCTTTTCCTCCTGCCTGGCAGCTCCATCTTCCATCCTTTATCTAGTATATTAACTTTTCCATTATTACTTACAACCAAACAAAGTGTACCGTTTCTGCCTCAGTATTGGTAGAGTAAAAATAAACGTATTTTTTTATTTATATCAATAGTACACAAAGATTTCTTTCTGTTTTCTCCTGAGAGTTTGAGCCTCACAAGGACACAGCTCCTGCTGTTTTAAGCTTCCTTTGGTTCTTTTCATTAGTTGGTATTATTGAAAAACCAGCTGAACTGCTGGTATTGTCAGAATTCATTCACAATATGCACACAGTCAGGATCAGGCAATGAAAACTAATTATTAAAATGATCATTTTCGTTCATTGGCTTCAACTGTGAAAGTTTAGTGTGTCCTTTACCTGGTGGTGTGTAGGCGTCCATGGAGCTCTGGACCACAAGCGACCGCCTCTTCGAAGGCATCGGCACCGCCATCTTTCTTTCTTTGTGCTTTGCCAGGGCTGCCTGCACCGCCTCCGTGTGCACATCTGGAAACATATGCAGGACATATAAAAAGTCTCTGTTAGATCCTTCTCATTCATAGTGATATAATGAATAATCACATAATCAGAGATGGTTTTTAAAACTACACTTCAGTGAGCTAACTCAGTGTTAGCTGTTAAATTCCTTTTTGTCGGCACAAATGAAAATTACTCTGCAGATACTCAAAGGGTGCTTAAGATTTGGTTATCCAAAATAAAAGGTTACTGGTTTCCCCCAGCATTTAATGCTTCTGTATAATACAAAGTGAGAATTGTGAATTTAAAAGCTATACACTATATATTTTTTCCCCCAAACTACTCCTAGACCAACGTACCGTCAAACATCAGGGCTGGAGAGCAGCCGACTGATGTAACTGGGAGAGGATGAATTAATACATATATTATATATGTATTATTATGTATACCTGTAGCAACAGGCTAAATTTACCCCTTATTAGCATTTAAGTTCCTTAAAAAAAGCATTCTATAATATTTAGTTACATAATATCACATTTAAAAAAGGTTTAATTATGCATCATATGTTATCATGCATGCACTAAGAGCTCTGATGTCCAGTGCAAACATACAAATTAGATGGAGTCCACCCTGCAGCAGCAGCACACAGAGACAGAGCAGCAAACAAGAGCAGGACTATCCTCTGTGTTTCTCTGTGTTTGTGCTGCACAGTTCTCTTTACAACGAGCACCATGTTCCCATTTATTCTCATTCAGTTTACGTGCACAAACATTCCCAGCCTGACAGCAGCTCCCATGAGGCCCTGTGGTTTCTGACTGGATTAGGTGCAGGGCGTGTCGGCGAAGATGTTTCGTAAATTGGTGTTTTTAAGAGTGAGATAGAGTGCTGCATACAGAGCCACAGCTGGGTTTGTTTGAATGGTGCCCACTGCCAAAAAAAGGCAAACGCCACAAACGCCGACACAGAGCAAACGGGCGTTTGGCCCGATAGTGACATATTAAGACATTAGTCAGAACGAACGGGGCTCACAGACGTCCGGTTGTTTGGCTTGTGGATGTGCTTATATAAGGGGAACAGAGGTAATTTAAATCTCAAGTGCACATTTATTGTCTCCCGGTTGACTGAGTGTGACTGTGCAGTGTGTGAAAGCGAGCATGTGGCATTTAAAGGTGCTCACATGGCTCTTCTTTTTCAGTTCACTGGGTTAAACGGGTTTTGTCAGGATTTATTATGCATCAGATCAAACTTTAATAGCTTCAATTCTCCAACAGCTTGTAGGGACATAATAATAAAGTAAGCCCAGTTCCACCACCTGTCAAGGAATTCAAGCTTTACAGCACCACAATGTTTCTTTTCTTATTGGTTTCCTGTCTATCTGTATTACCATCGCTTGATGTCAGTAGAACAAATTCCTACAAATTACTTTTGAATAAGACGCCACTGAAAAGATTGAAATCCTGAGTTAATCCTGTATTAATCTTTAGTCAACACCAGATGGAACGAAACTGAACCGCATCTTACAAGAGCTGTGGAAGATTTGTCAGGAGCTCATTGCATAGATGTAAAGCAAACACTGGATTTGTTGTAGCTCGTTCTGCATGTAGCAAGAAGACTCAGGATATCAACGAAGATGTGGTTTTCCTGATGTCTGAGAAAGTCATCAGAGCTGGTAGCAAAATACTTCAAGACCTTCAGAGGCCAAAATCTATCCAAAAACCACCAAACACTAATCAGTTTTGCCTGATCTGAAATACAAGTACATGTATTTGCATAAAAGAAGTAATATGAAGTATTAAGTTATAGCAATTATTAAACCTGTGTGAGGGGAATAAATGAGGCATATTTGAAAGATAACAGGGACACAACTAAATGCCAGCAAGGTCTCACCTGATCGGTAACGTTCGTCTCTGGAGCCAGAAGACCGCCGGCGGTGGTAGCGGGAGGACGACGACGGGGTGACGGGCGTTCTCCTCTCCTGGCCCATGGACGGATCCATTCCTAAGGCGCAGGGATGCTGATTAAAATTGTATCTAATGACATAAACAATCGTCACATTACATTTTGGCGAGAGATCTCAAGGCACCTGGTGTTTTGCATGCTCGCTGACTGACAAGGATTAATGAGAAGCAGCTATTAACAAATGGAAGCCTGGTAATAAACTTGATTACACCTGCTACCACCAGCCCAAATGTCAGCTATGAAAAAGTCTATCAAGGTGATTCTCTCCACTGTTGGTCACAAACAAATATTCATGAGTGGCTGGAATATTGTTTTAAAAATAGTCATAACCCGAGAACACATGAAACACCATCAGCCACAGACTGGCCTCCCCAGAGCAGAGAAAGCAGCCAATTCATGGAGACTACTTCAAAAAAGGAAAAGAAGGTTTGTCTACAAGATTTCAGGCTGTGTTGAAGAATAAAAGTGGTCAAAAAATATTGACTTTGACCTTGTATAAAACACTGATTTTGTCTTATATACTGTATTCCCATGAATGTTTGCACAGTTCAATAAATCGCTACTCCCATTTCTTTTCGAGAAATGGCAGGTGGCTCAAGACTTTTGCACAGTAAGCAAAATATGTCGTCTCAGTCGACACAACAATTTGTGATTCAAAAAGTAAGAGTCCTCAGATGTAAATCATCACACTTACTTTAAGCAAGACTGGCTTTAGTTATTCTATCACAACACAGTTATGAGTCTCCTAAAGAAAATCTGTATCAGAAATCAGAAAAAACTAGAAGCGTTTTAAAACTTCTAAATCTAAAACATACACAACAGATCAGTCTTGGTTCACACATGTGCACACACACATATCTTTAAGCATGCACAAACACACTCACTCAGAGAAAACAACCTCCCTACACAGCAATCAATAAGTCTGATGATAATAACCACCCTGTTACTGACAGCTACAACCGATCCACAGCCGGTGATTTATGACCATCTATCTCAGCTTCATACTTCTACCCTCGTCTGTCTTCATTAGAGCTCTCAGCGTGGCTCAGAGTGCCGCTGTTGCTCAGGCGAAAAGCTAAAAGTTGATTAGCCAATCATTAACGACTACCAGGAAGCACAGGAATAAACGACAGATCTGGAAAACACCTCGCCTTCTTGTTTCCTCTGGGGAACCGAGAAGGATGGATTTCCCTTTCTCCCGATTCAGTCAACTAGCTCTTTGTCTTTCCTCTCTTTCCTTACACTCGTTCTGCACACAGACTGCACAGCTGTCTATTTGGCTGCTAAAAACAGGCTATACAACTGTTCAACAGGCTGTTTTATGTAACGCCAAACCTGTTACATATACAGTAACGGAAAAGCTCAAAAATGCAAACCAAAAACGAACTGAAGCTCAGGATTCAGAGCAGGTCACCTGCTGATCTGAAGGTTGGTGCTTCGATCCCCATCTGCTCAAGTCTGTCTGCAAAGATACTTATAACCCCAAGTTTGCTTTCTGATGCCTCGATCGGAGTTTGAATGTTAGATAGAAAGAACTTACACACGCAAAGCACAAAACAAAGTGTTTATATAAATGTGGAAAGTAGTATGAAGTGCTCAGTTTGAGTAGAAAAGGACTATACAAGAACCAGTCCACATGTATATTTATATACTGTATGTTGTTATCCTTTCTTTTATAAACAGTTGTTTATGTGCAGGGTGTGGTGTTACATGATGCGTCTCTCTTTAGGTGCCCATAGTAAAGCTCATCGATGTTGAACCAGTGAGACCATCAACATAACACATTTATTTTATTTTTATTTACACAAATAAGAGATTTGCTTCGATCAGCGGCACTCTGGCTGGAAAAACAGAAAAAAATAAGAAGCTTCACATCAAGTAGAAACAGACTGCATCGTGTCAGCATGTTTTGATGTACGTTCTGAGATCTATTAGCAAGTCTACACAGTATTTATTGATCCCTGTATGACCTGAAATCTACAAGCAGCAAGTTTTACACAATAAACTTTCACAAAACACATAAAATAATCACAGATTTTCCCTCCAACTCACATCAACCACTAATTCTAACAAAAACACTTCATTTTTGCTTTTTGCTTTTCACACTATAAAAACCGTACATGAGTCTGTTGAACCAATTTGATAAATATACTAAATTCAGCTAAAATTCCTTCATAATCAGCATCGTGCTTTAAAAAATGCCTGTCTTTGGATTGTGGGAGAAAGCTGGAAATAAACACTAACACAGTTAAGCTTCTTTGTCCTTTGGCTGGTTGAGAAAGATATGAGGGGGGAAAAAGCCAAATAAAGGAACATCAACACTGCACATCATCCTGTGCCAACACCAACATGGTTAATGCTGATTATAGCAATCGTAATTTTTTTTTAAAAAAGCTCAGGAAGCAATATAATTAAAAAAGAAACCAAGTGTACTATATGTGGTTTTTTCACTTTCAGGAAATTACATAATGTGCTCTTACAGAAAATGCCCTCTCCTTACTGGCATCTAATGCAACAAATGTTTTGCATGCTTGAAGCACGACACAGAAGGACTGACAACCGTAATGTGCTGTGAGAAAGTAACTTTTATAGACTACAGACAGATCACAACTGTGCCTTTGCTATATGCACAATATTGAATGTGCATACATTCATTGAAGTCAGCAGAATAACTACATAAAGAAAATATTCATATTACACCAAATGTATAAATTTGTACGAAATTACTTTATTTCCTCTCAGAAAATGTATTTAAAAGTATTACAGCAAATGCGAATAGATAAATGTAAACATAGGAGGACATTCATGAGGCATCGTACAATGTTTACAAAGTAGACGTGGTTACAACTCTGTCAGTAGTTACAGGTTTTCTGAAATCAGAGCTCTGCAGGTGACAGGTGTTTTCTAGCTCCCACACCAAAGCGCTAAACATCAAACCTGATCGCGCCTGACCCGCCTACTTGAGCTTGCACAGCTCAGCGGCGGCTCCTTCTGAAAGCCAAAGTCGGCTGAGTGGACTTCGTCATGACTTTGTGGAGGAGTTTTACGGTATCGGTGACACTGTAGAAGGACAAAACACCTGCACTGTGATCCAGGTACACTCCCACCCTGGAGGACCAGGTATCAGGGATCGGGGTTCTGGTGTTGTTATGCCTGAAGTTGTAGCTATTTTTGAAACAGTCTAAAGCCCAAGACTTTGTTGATGATTTGAACATTTGACATTGTTCCCAAACACGCATTCAGCGAAGCTCCCCGTTCTGCTGATACTCTTGTATGAGACTGCTACTAAAACGCCCTTCCTGCTCCTCTCCACCTCCAGGTAGTGGCGTCCAGCAGATCCCTCTGCCGTTCAGTCCTTTCTGCTGTGGCTGAGACTTTGATATGACCTTTATGATCGTCTTTGGAACAGAGATAACAGATGCAGTGCTGATCAGTGCGACAGAACAACTTCATCACCTCTTGATGGCGAGAGCAGATGTTTTCCTGAAGACTTGCACTTGCTTCCACAAGCCTGTGTTTCCTCAAGGGAGGTATATCATAGTGAGGCTGGAGGTGCGCCTCACAATATGAAGCCAAACACTGCAGACAGGACTTGGAGGCTTTTGTTTCGCTCAAAAAGCAATTTGTAGTTCCTGTAAAGTCTGATTTTTCAGGTCTGAGGTGTTAACCAGAATTACACAATGCGTACATTTTTACATCGCTTTTACTGTAATTCATAGTTATTGCAGTTACCCGTCACAAATATAAACATATCCTGCTTTCAGAAACAATATGCCAGTGACAAAAACCTTGGTATGACACAGATAATCAGTTTACTGTGGTGTGTAAGCACCAATAGTCTTATGCCTAAATAGTCACAGAGCATAGTGGCTGATAGGCAATCAGTATATACCTGTAGATAATCACAAAGAGTGTGATGATGTGATAAACCTGAATATACAGGCTTGTAAAAGCAGGTCAGTTTGCCAAGTCATGAAACAGGAGAAGACTTGTTGGCATGTAACCGCAGCTATTTTTAGAAACTCTAACCGCAGTCATCGTGTGAAGGAAAACGTTTTGGAGAACTCGGGGGATTTCTTACAACTCTGGCAAAAGTCGACAGGGCTGCCAGAAACTTCTGTTGCTAGCTCAAACAAACATAAGGACATTTTATAATCTGGGCCATGAAAGGGCCAAACAAGTTATTCATTTGTTCAAAGAACCACAGAAGTCTCATGAAAGTTTGCCCAACCATTTCGACGGTGCTTTGTAGACTTGGAAAAGGCTTGCGACTGGGACAAACTAGCTATTATACGGGGAAAATGTTTAAAACACCAATTTGAAGCAGCTGGAAAATGGGTCGACACTCGGTTTACTTAGGCCTGGTCGCTGCAGAGGTCGTGGCCTCGTCTTTCCAAGTTAGAGTAAGATGCAGCTGGAGACTGGTGTTTAACTCTAATCTAATTGAGCTTTAAGCTACATTTATCAGTTTACAGTACTGTTCCTACCAAGGTCCGTGGTTATAGTCAAAACCGGCTTTATAAATAACCATTATCCCATTATTATTATTATTATCTTTTCCACAGAGGTTTTAGGCCCTCTGTTAGAGATGAGCTGAGTAACTTTTATATAGTTGAGATTTGGAAATGGACCATGAACACCTTGGTCTAAAAGTATTCTGTGCACAGTAACAAGCCAGCCGACAGTATCCTAGAATTTTACCAAAATCCACATTTACAAGTACTTTCAAGTAATCAAATTGGAAATTCTAATAATGATTGATTCAAATCATCATGGGTTTAAAAATAGTTTTTTATTGGCTGGTGAAATTAATCCTTGAAGACAGTTTATGTTTCAAATTTCTTTTTAAAAAACCCTAGAAGTTATCTTACTGACCCCAAATCAGTGCTCTGAGCCTACAGCTGTACACTAGAGTTCACTTAAAGTAAATGCAAGAGAAGGAAAGTTTTTCATTTTCTATTTTTTCTATTTTGGCTGAATGTAATGACATCAAAGTGATAAATTCTCAGTACTGGAGGGAAAAGGAGAATCAAAGTATATCACCCTGACTCCATACAAAGCAGTGCGGATTAAAGCTGAAATACACCACGGGGAAGGAAACTGTGCTGGTGTGTGTGTGTGCTTGTTACAGAAGGAGAAAAGGAGTATTGTGTTGTTAAGTGTGTTCAAGAGAGGGTCTGAAAAATGGGAAAAAGGGGTTATTGTGTGTGTGTGTGTGTGTGTGTGTGTGTGTGTGTGTGTGTGTG